GTTGGTTAGTGTGGTCCAGCATAAACAGGAATCCAGGACCCTCCCTTAGACTCTTATGTCTGGGTTTTTTTTGAGATCAAAGGAGAACATGGTATTTGAACAAAATGTGCAAGGGCCCACCCTTCCTGAATTGCACTTCTGGGTGTATGTTCTGTCCTGCAGCTGTAGCACTCTACAGAAGGGTTTGGGTTTCTCCCCTCCCTGCCCTCTTTTAAAGTATCGTGAGAGAAATGTAATAGATGTTTTCACAGGAGTCTCTGATCCTACACTGCTCTCATTGTGCCTCTGTGTTTTGTGAGCAGGGCTGCTGATCATTAACAATTTAAGCCTAGCACCTCTAATTCATCTGAAGTTCATGTAATGTATTACTTACATTAGATGTAGGTGCCAAAACTGACCTGTAAACCTAAAATGAAATTGGGACTACAAAATTAATTTCATTTAGGTTGTGAAAAATTAGACTATAAATGGAATTCCTGTGGGAACTGTGTAAATCTTCTTTGACATTGATTTAATGTAATTCTTTTTTTAGTAGGGTAACTTTAAATTGTGTAACCAGTACATAGTTTTAACCAGCACAGATTTGTAGCTAATCTTGCAATAAGATGAGTACTAATAGGAACTTTCTGTGGTATTTCTGAATTTAAGGATCACACTGTGTAGCTCTAATGCAGCTGACTAGAAAGGCAGGCACCATACCCCCTCCCCAGCCCTAAGCAGGTAGGTAATGACACAAAGCTGTGTCAAACATCTCCATCCCATCAATGGATTTTAATTTATAAAATGCATGTGCACGGGATTACACAAATTCAGGGTGAAGATTTATTTTATGCTCAAATCCGAATCTGAATTTCAAAGTTAGTACCTGAATTAGGATTTCACATCTGAATCACCATAGTTAATCCCTGATCTGGGAAAATTTTGAGTAAAATACTTAGTTCTTTAAATTGGATCCAGGAATTCAAGATTTGACTAGCTGTGGAACAAAAATATGGGTTCCCTTAATAGATGGCAAGTAAGTGTTCTTGTCTTATGCATGAAATTGAATTGAGGACTAAAATTATTCTGAATCATTCAAATGTTCATGCTCTAGATGACAGCATATTCTGCTTGCTGTGCAGCTTTTTTTCTTAGACATTTTCTTGTTTTAAAGATAACGTGTTCAGGTCTGATTCTTCAAATTTAATTCTGCCTGTGAGTAAATTCAGAGGGTTGGATTAACACATGCACTGTCTGTGCATGAGAGCTCAGGCATTAGATTCTCTCTGCAGGGGAACATTTAAGGTACTTGAGATAATTTGACCTATGAAAACAATAATTTTGAATGTTTTCCTGCAATAACTCATCCTGACATTTTGTAAAATGCATGATAGTGTTTTCAAACAAGGAAGAATATGCTGGATGCTGGGACATCTCAAAACTTGCCTGAAGTTGTCTGGGTCTCTTACTCAGCAAGTCTTCTGTATCAGTTAAAACAATATTATCTGGTTATCTGGTAATATTGGTTAAAACAATATTATCTAGTTATCTGGTAATACTGGTTAAAACAATATTACCTGGTCCTGCTCTAAGTCAGTAGGTGCAAAAGCCTGTCAGATTGTATAAGATTCAGATCACAATAATTTTTGGCATCTAAAATTACCACTACAAGACTGCCTTGCAAAACACTTAATTCATCTGGGCTTCTGTTATCTTTTTGTGTCAGTAGAGTTATTGGAATGAATTGATTCTTCCAGACACAGCAAATGTTGATAGCAGGCAGCCCTTGCATGTTCATTCTCCTTTCTGCATGCTTAGGGCTCATCTTCTGTCTTAATTGTCTGTATGTCCTTCCAAGAGGGCAGGCACTGCCATTTCCTTAATGAAGTCAAGTTCTCTGTTCTTTCTAAGGTTTAATTCCAAGGATTGTCAAGGAAAAGTTCTAAGATTCTCCTGTACTATATGTGCAAAGAAAAGCAAAATGTGACGAACAAGAATCCACTTTAAAATAGAAAATTGGATATAAAACTCCACCACCAGCTAAGACTTGAGAGAGGTTTTGGCAGTTAAAAATTCACATTCTTCTCCCATCTTATAAGAAAGAATGGTATGGAAAATACATTTTGCACAAATATAGTTCCAAAAATAGAAAAATAAGATAGAATCTCAAACTTCATTAACAAAAATTTAGAACATCCTGAATACTCTCATACTACAGCTTAACCCAGCCCTACTCATTAATGAAAACAGTTTACAAGGGAAGATAATTTGCCTTTCTGATATTAAATAATTTTATAATCAAAGGTAATACTAATAAAACTTGAGTGTTGCAGAAGCAAAAATGACAGTCGCTACTTGAGACCTTCCCTGGCATGACTAGATGGGACTTCTAGCTACAAGGTAAAGCATTTGCCACCCAATCTACAATGAAAGTAGCCATGTATTATCTGATAGATTCTGTGTTGCAATCCTAATAGTGTTAGCTGCTAGGACTATAAAGACTGTTGAGAAATGTGAAAACGCTTAAGCTATAAAAAGCATATTGGCATGATTCAGTGGATGCTCTGATCAAAACACAATGTGCTTCAATAAAAAGAGAACGCAATTTAATTTGCTGCTGTCAGTGGTAAGTGCTGCATTGCGTTTGTTTCTTGCATGGGAAAGAGGAACGGCAGAGAACAGGGCCTGAGCAGGTGTTTGTCCTGCAGCTGACCCCACCAGCAGCAGACTTGAACGAGTCTTCCCAGACACGGAATTTTGCCTGAACAGAGGTAGTAGCAAAGGTAGAGCCAAGAATGAAAACTACCTCCTTTTCAAATTAAAGCTTTTATTGGCACAACAAGGAAACGTGTATTGTTGTTGGTGCAGTCCTGGGTATACTGAACAACTTGTTCACCTACCAAAGGGAATCAAGTTACTTTTGAGATCCATATCTGGATGTAGTGTCAGATATTAAAGAAAGTAAGTTGGCTTGGTTTGTTCTAACAAGAAAAAACAGAATTGAAGAAAATATTTCTTAGTAGAAATTCAATGAAAATACTTTACGCTGCAAGTCCAGCATTCCAAGATAGAATCTTTATTTTTTTCCAGTGAATGTATGCATGATCCAATAATAACAAAAGTTAGCAGAAACCTGTTTTAGTAAAACCTCATTAATCACGGCAGTCTGATATAGTATACCTGATATTCATTATATTTAATGAGAGATCACCGAACAAATGTGCTCATTAGTGGCTCTGGTATTGGACAGCTCTGTGAGAAGTACTTGTCTAAACCCTGCCTCAGTTATGTACATTTAACAAGCTCCACAAATAGCTCTGGGCTGCTTCCTGTTCCTCAGGCACTGGCAGCGTGTCTGAAATGCTATAAAATGCTTGGAGGCTGCAGCACAGGCTGGTTGTTTATGGGGGTGCTGAAGTCTTGGATCCCACATCCTCCTCTGCTGGTTCTCATGGTCCGTGTGCTTGGCCAGCTGCTCCTTCAGGTGCCGTGTGTCCCTGGTGTTCACCAGCTCCGTGGCCCTGCAGTGTCTGCTCGCTCCAAGAGTCAGCCAGGCTTGGGAGAGCCTCCCCAAACCCGCATCCCTGCCTCCTCTGCTTTGCTATTTCCACACCTTGCCCATAAAAGCAGTGGGTTCCTTTCATTATGAGGCCAGAACTAGATCATCTGGGGTCGAAACTGATTATCTTTAAAGTCCCTTCCAACCCAAACCATTCTATGATTACAGAAGTAATCATATTCATAATCGCATTCTGTGATAAGGTAACAGAATTGGGGTTGAAGAGTTCTGTCAATAGAATTCATTTCTCTGCTCTGAACCTGGTCTGCCTTCAATGCTGAAATGGAAAAGCAGTGTGTGCACTAATCAGCCTTACTGCAATTAATATCTACCAGCAGCAATAACAGTGATGCTTCCTTGAATTCCCAAGTTTAAACTTGCTGCAATCCAAGGTGAAAGGTAGAAGATTGTGCTATTTGTAATTAAAATGCTACCATGAGGAAAAAAAATGAAGATTGGAGTGAAATAAGGCTGTGCAGACATCCATGCATGTAATTTGGTTTAGATAATGGAAAGACAGCCTGTACAAAGGAAAACCTGTGGGGAGTTTGTTGTTGTTTTGGATGTTTTTTTTGTTGTTTGGGTTTTTTGGGGTTTTTTTTTTTTGGGGTTTTTTGTTGGGTTTTTTTTGGTGGGGTTTTTTTGGGGTTTTTTTTTTTGGGGGTTGGTTTTTTTTTTTTTTTGTTGGGTTTTTTTTTTTTGTTTTTTTGGGGTTTTTTTTTTTGGCGGTCAAATGTCCCGGGGTTGTATTTAGTATCAAAGAGCCTTAACTTTAATAGTTTTCTTTTAGAAACCTAATATTGCTAAGACAGTAGTCAAAATCAGCAGACTCATACAACGAGCCCAGTTCCCATCCCACAGATCAGCAAACCCAGATACTTTTCATCCTGTTTTTGTTTTAAAGACACCACGAAGCAACCACACAGTTTAGACGCCAGGCGCTGGGCCCATCAGTGATTTATTCGGTTTATCCTCTCAATGCCCAGCGTTCACTCCCTGCCCGGGCCCTGCACTGCCCGGAGCGGGGCTTGGTGCGGGGCAGCGGCACCCGGGGAGACGGCAGTGCCCGGTAACCCCGGCAGCGCCCGGTAACCCCGGCAGTGCCCGGCAGCCCCGGCCGTGCCCGGTAACCCCGGCAGAGCCCGGTAACCCCGGCCGTGCTCGGTAACCCCGGCAGTCTCCGGTAACCCCGGCCGTGCCCGGTAATCCCGGCCGTGCCCGGTAACCCCGGCCGTGCCCGGTAATCCCGGCAGTGCCCGCCGGCCTCGGTCGCTCCGGGTACCCGGCCAAGGCCGCGCCCAGCCCGGCACGATCCGCCCTTCCAGCTCCTCCTCCCGGCCCGACCCATCCCGCCCCGCTCTCTTTCCATCTCTTCCTCCCGGCCTGACCCATCCCGCCCCGTTCCCTTTCCATCTCTTCCTCCCGGCCCGATCCACCCGCCCCGCTCCCTTCCAGCTCCTCCTCCGGCCCGCCCGGGGCCGCCTTCCCGCGGCGGCAGAAGATGGCGGCGGCCGCGGGCTGGGCGCTGCTGGCCCTGGCGCTGTGTGTGAGCGCGGCGGCCGCGGCCGGCGGCTCCGAGGGGAAGCGGCGGGAAGGGCCGCCCAAGAAGAAGGACATTCGGGACTACAACGACGCGGACATGGCCCGGCTGCTGGAGCAGTGGGAGGTGCGGGAGGCGCCGGGGCCGGCGGAGGGAATGCCGGGGGCGGTGGGCCGGGCCGGGCCGGGGCAGGGGGAGTCCCCGGGCCCGAACGGCGCCGGGCGGGAGGGAGCCCCGAGCTGCTGGAGGGTGGCCGGGGCCGCGCTCCTTCCTCCGAGGCCCCGGGTCCGTGTATGGGGGTTTCAAAGTCGCGGCGGGCGGCCTCAGCCTGCCCTGCCCGGCTGGCCCTGTCCCGCCTCCCCAGAGGCTGCCGGCAGCCTCGTCTGGCTGAAAAGTCTGGTATTTTCGAACTCCATACACATTATGTGACCAAGGGGTGGATACCAGAAGGAATACTAATTTCACGTTTACCGGGTAGATACGTTGTTTTGGTTTGGTGTTTCTTTCCTATCTTTCTTCATAGTAACAACTTCCATTTCCAGCTCGCTCTCGTCGCCTTCATTCTTATCCCTTAACTTTACTTGGTGGTTTTCCATCACTCTTTTCTCCATGTGGTTGTCATGCCACTGTTAGGTTCTTTTCACTATGTTATGTTTCATCATCTTCTGATGAATGCCAGAGCACTCCTCACTGTCATTTATTCTTTCCTGTGAGGTTTTTCCCTGGAATATTTTGCAAAAAACCCTGAAAGAAATAATAGAGAGAAAACCTGTGTTTTATGTAATACCAGTTGCAGCTGTAAGTCAAGGTGGAGAAGTGTGTTTTATATGTGAATTATAGATAAAGTAACTGGAAATATGGATGCCTGCCTTTGTCCTGGTTGGCAGGTTATGGATTTGTTCATCCCATGGATTGTTACTCCATATATCCCTTTAGGAAGGGAGGCTCTTAGAAAATTGAGTTAAAATTTTAAATAAAATTAATAAAAGGCTGAAAGTTCACTTTTCTGTTAGTGGCATCAGCCAAGGACCCAGCAGGCCCAGCTTCCAAAAATGCAAGGCTTTATATTGCCCAACTTAAACCAAATTTGGCCTTGTAGGAAAAAAAAAAACAAACCTTAAAAGGTGAGCATCTCTTTTTAATGAGATGGCTGAAAGGGAGACTCAAGTTAATGCTGTTGTGACTCTTGACTGTATATTCTGCTCCAGCCCCAGTGGGCAGGTCAGGAGGCTCTGGTGGGTTTTTTGTTTTCAGCTGGAGCAGGTCCCTGGTCCAGGTCAGGGTGTGCTGCACAAATGCAGATGTGGCAGAGCAGCTGGGGAGTCACTGCTGGGGCTGGGTGTCCCTGGGGAGGGGCAAACAGAGCAGAGCAGGGACCGAGGCAGGGCTCAACAACTGGGTGGGGGTTGTTTGCTCTCCTGGCATGGTCAGCTGCAGGGTATTTTGCCTGGTGGGAGTCAGGACACATAGGGAACATGAAAGGATTGAGGGGGTGGTGGCTGGAGGAGAAATGGCATGAGTGCATTTGGTGGAGTGGGATGAGAAACAAAGGGGCCACTGTGAATTCAGGCAAGAGCAGGAACTATGCTTGGGAATGAGGGGCACAGGGCATAGATCTGTACAGAATCAAATGTCATTACTTTCAACTGAATGAAATTACTCCAAAGATTTTTTATTTCCCTGGCAATTAGTCTAAAACCTTTGGAGGCTGGTGGTTGTGACATGCTTGGGTTTGGTCACAAGCCTGAGTGTGTGGCTCCAGCAGCTTTCCCAGCAGGAGCAGCCACCTCTCTGCTCAGGGTCTCAGGCTGCCCCTTGCACCATGTGCATGACTGCCTGGTGATCCAGGAGAGTGGCCTGGTGGAAAACAGGGATGAGCAACAGGGCAAAGAGGCAGAGGTGCTTCAGCAGCTCAGTTGCACAGCTAGAGCTTGGAGGAAGCCACTGAGGGATTTTCCTTGTGGAAAGGGACTCTCCTGAAGCCTGGACTCCTGGGGAGCTGGACACAGAACTGAGAAATCGGGGCTGGAGGTCTCTAAGTTACTGAAATGTCAAGTGCTTTAAATACTTCATTACTGTTACAAACTCTGGGTTTCTCAGGCTTGATTCTGATCATTGAATAGGCAAAGCAATTAAGTGGCATATATTACTAATGTTTTAAAAATCAAAATGCGGGGCATTTATGAGAAATTTCTGAAATGGGAGCTCATGTTGTCACTAAATCCCAAGTGAAGGAATATGCAGTTTTTCCTGTGTCTATGTAATGCTTTTCCTCTGGAACATCATGTTACTGTTTAAGTGAGTGAGTCTGTGTCCTGGGGTGACTTTATGATGCTGAGCTGTATCCCTCTTTGTATGTTTAGCCCAGAAATAAGTTTTGCACCCTTAAAACTAGGTCTGAGACTGAAGGGGGAGGAGAAGCAGAAGTGGTGGAATGTCTGTGGGGCTGTAGTCAAAAACAGAGATAAGAGCTTCAGCCTTCCTTCTCACAGACAGCAGGAGAGAGCTCTCCTTTGCTTTTAGTTAGTTTTTAGCTAGCTGAGGCAGAGAAGTTCCTTGGACTGTGGCTTTTCTTTTTCTTCTAACTGATTGGCCTTGCTGTGGACTAAAAACCCAGGAAAACACAGGAGCTCACGCCCGTGGCCCACCAAGGCCTGGGACACAGCAGGAGGGACTACCGCACCTGCCCAAGGGAATCAAGTAACTTTGAGATCCATATCTGAACATGGTATCAGATATTAAAGAAAGTAAGTTGGCTTGGTTTGTTCTAAGAAGAAAAAATCAGAATTGAAGAAAATAATTCCTAGTAGAAATTCAATGAAAATTCCATTCAATTCCAGTGCAGGAGGGACTGATAAGAGACTGAGTGAGCTGAACTACACCCCACAAAAAGGATTTTCTGAACTTGCCATCTCTTCAGAACAGTGAGAGGTTTTATTGTTTAATACTATTCATTTTTCATCCTTGTGAGTACTTTGCATCTTAAATAAACAGGTTTTTCTCCACTTTTCTCCAAGGAAATCTTTTCCCGAACCAGTAGAGAGAGGGGCCACTTGAATCTGCTTTCTAGAGGGACCCCTTTGGAAGTTTCCTCCCAAATCTGCCCTAAACCAGGACAGTCCGCTTTTCAAAGCAAAAGCTTACACTTTTCCTTCACTTTTTTCATTTTAGATAGCTTGAAGCACAGCTGCATGACATTTTGTACAGGAAATAAGAAAATAAATGCCATCTAGGGGAGCTCTTGGCATCTTCTGATAATACTCCCATTCAAAGTGAAAGAACACAACTTCAGGAGCATTTAGTTGCATAGTTAGGAAAAAAATAAATAATACATGTTAGTAGCTCATGTTGTCACTAAATCCCAAGTCAGTTTCTATATTTCATACAGAGTATTTGGAAATGTTTCTTTCTGCCTTTTTCTTTCAGAACTGTGAAATAAGCTGGCTTTGCTCTAGTCAAACCAGTCTTAAGCTTCTTTTAATTGTGGAGAATATTTTTTAGTCAATCACATGAGATTTTGTATTTTCACTGTACTTTACCAATTTGACCATTCTCTGGCCTCCTGTAAGATAAGTTTCCCACTTAGTGGTGGCAGGGACTTTCTTGGACTCTCCTCTGCTCTTGGTTCATTCATTTCAGAAATTTCAAGGCATGTGAACTACTTGAAAGTACGTTTCAATCTTGCAAAATTGAAACAAAGACAAAATGAATAAGGAAAGAAAGGATAAAATCTAAGGCTCCTACAGCTTCTGTTCTGTAGTCCATGAACTTTAAAGTTTGCTGTTACAGAAATCAAGTTCTGGTTTAATGTAAATTGACGCCATATTCAGCTCACAGTTGAGCTGTTTTAAGGGGCAGCAGTTTGATTGTGCCTTTCCAAATATTTAAATGGCTGTCAGCCCCAGCAAAGGCACCGAGAGGTTAATATTTTTCTTTTTTGTGGGAGTGATTTACTCTGTGTGATTATGTTGTCAGGCTGTGAGCTGCATCTGGGCATTAGAAAAGTCATGAAACCTTTAATCAAAGTCTTCCTGTGGCATAAGCACTCAGAAGATCTGAATTCTTGTGGGTTTAATTGTTTCAAGACACAAAGTAAGGGAACTTAAATTCTCAAGCAATCACATGATTCCCAGAAGTGAGTTTTGACCTCTGAAAGCAGTATCAGATGAATGTGTTTTCATATATGTGTGTATAAGGCTTTTTATTGCAACTTTCCCGTTTCATCTTGCATGCATAATAAATATTTGTGAAACTGTGAACGAAAAAAAAAATCATTTTATGAGTTTCATAGGTGGAATTGTATTGAATTAGCCTTAAGGCTGAAATATTTCTTAGTATATGATAAAATGAGATTCCACCTGTCAGTATGAAAATGTACATAATTTTCAGAGGAGGGTTGTAAATGGATAGAGCACTCTTGGTGAAGTATCTTGAAACAGCAGTCACTTTTGGTTTCACAGTCTGCATCATTCAGCTAAAAGAAACTTTATCAAAGCACAGTTATTCTCTAAACAAACATAAATTTAAAAAAAATACTCAAAATGTATTTGTGGAACAGTTGAATTTAAAGCTTCCTTGTCCTTCTCAAAACAGAAAGATGATGACATTGAAGAGGGAGATCTCCCTGAACACAAGAGGCCTCCAGCACCAATAGATTTCTCAAAAATAGATCCAGGCAAGCCTGAAAGCATCCTGAAGCTGACAAAGAAGGGGAAGACTTTGATGATGTTTGTCACAGTGTCAGGAAATCCAACAGAAAAGGAGACAGAAGAGATCACCAGCTTGTGGCAGGGCAGTCTCTTCAACGCAAACTACGACGTGCAGAGGTGAGCTGCTGTGCACAAGGATGAACTTCTTGCCTTTGCAGCACCCTTTCTTTCCTCCTGTAAACCTTTTCAGCTGGTCATCCTTTGCAGTTCTCTATCTCCAACATCCATTACTATTTCTGTTTCTTTGTCAGTTGTGACAAAACTTGTGGTGTGGTGCAGAAACCTCTTCAGTGCCTGTGCACTATGTGTGTATAGCCCTGATTCTTTTTATCTCACTGTGGTTCAGCTGTTTATCAGTACTAGCTGCAGTAGTTTGCCTCTATGTGCTTGATGGAAAGCATCACACTCTGAGGACTTGTCACCACAAAAGGCTTTTTGTTCCCCTGTTAAAAAATGTGACTCTTTTTCTCTCTGAGAGAGAGCATAATTTTGAAACAGAGAGTGTTGTGCTCTTTATTGAGGCTGAGAAGGGTTGCAGTTAAGTGTATAAAGCAAATTTAATGCTCCTTAGTGGATTTTACATAGTGCCAAATTAGTTCTAAATTTGTTTCCTTATTCTTACTTCCTTGATTACTTACTGATATACTTAATACATTTTATTCTTAAATGTCATAGAAGATTGTTCTCTTGTCCCCACCCCCAGGCAACAGCTAGACCGGCTTCTTGCTCTTAAACATGTGCCTCAGACATGGAGGCTCTCTGAGCAAATGCTGGAGTGTTTGAAAAGCACAGAGTTAACTGAAAAAAAAATATGGATTTTTTTCCTCTAGGTTTATTGTTGGCTCCAATCGGGCTATCTTCATGCTGCGGGATGGTGGCTATGCCTGGGAGATCAAGGACTTCCTGATAAATCAGGAAAGGTGTGCAGATGTTACTTTGGAAGGTCAGGTTTATCCTGGCAAAGGAGCAGATGGAAATGAGAAAGTGAAAAACAAAACAAAACCTGACAAAGCAAAGAAGAAAAAAGACACAGAGAAGAAATCCAACGGTGTCAAAGAGGACAACCGAGCAACCAACCAGAGAGAGGAGCTATGACAGCCACGGTGCCCAGACTGAATCCTGCTCTGCTGCTCCTTGAAGGGAATCTGCTGATGAGTCCTGGGTTTGGGGGAGGAAGGAAGCAGAGACTACTGAAGCTTAAATTTATGTTGAAATTCACGAGTTTACTCATTGCTGTTGACCATTTGTTTAGTTACAGGAAAGGTAATGCTTCATGGCAGCAATTGACTGCTTTAGTTTGTAATTTTTTATGCTTTTGTTGTTGTTTAAAACTAGCATACAAATCTGTGTGTCTAACATCACAAACTTAATTTAAGTGGAAAAGAAGAATTATGGTCTCAGAATACACTGATGTTTATCTGCAGTAGCTGTGTCCATCTTAAGTGTGTAAATCATGGGTTCACAGCTGCTGAGAGCCAAGTGCAGTGTGAAAAGTTTCTCTTGGATGATGGTTTGATAGACATAGTTGGCACAAAACTGCCCAAAGTAGCAAAGAATAGTGTCCAAAGATGCCTGAAATTACAGGGTTTAGGTCATGTTTGGTGAGACTGCCTGTTTCTTTAAAATAAACTCAATCTGTTGTGTCCCAGGAAATCTGTGCTTAGGAGTGTGATGGACACTAGGTAGGAACTCTGCTCATGGACTGCAGATCTGTACAGGAGGGACACTCTGTCAGAAGTGAATGAATTGGAGCACCTGCACGAGCAGTGTCAGGGTGAAAAGTGAAGATGAATCCAGGGCATTCAGGCTGCTCCTGCTGCTAAAGGACTGTGCCTGTGGAAGCAGCTGTTCCTTGTGCCCTGGTACTCAGGCAGTGAGCTGAAAGAAAAAGCATTTAACTCTGAAGTTAATTTGGTTTACTGATTTAATGGTTTGTTTAAATATTTGAAAAAGCCCTCATTAGAGCACAGAGTTAAACTTTGAGTTAGACATATCACTTACTGATGCTGATCTGGCTAGATTTTGGTTTTTTCCTTGGTACAGATTCCTGACTGACTTGTTTGATTGTAAATTACCATTTAATTTGAATTCTAAGAAGTTGGACATAAGAGAGCCAATATTTTGTATAATTGGGGAGGTTTTGTTATTACTCAGATTGTATTCAGTCAAATGCTTTGCTTAGAATTGTTTCCCTTCTGCCTTACTACCAGTTAGGGACAAAAGGCACCGAGTAGTGTGGTCCACATCATTTTGCAGAGGATGAGCACAGTATCAACTGTCTTCATTCAATACTGGTATGGTGTTCCTTTTTCTTTAAGGTGCTAAAATCCAAGTGTTTTGGATAAAAGGTCCTAATTGAACCATAATGGTTGATCTTGTGGAATACTACGGTATCAAAAGTACGAAGCTGTAACTGAGTCCTTGTTCTAAAATAAAAGATGGCACTAAACTTACTGTTTTGAAGAGTAGTAAAACCTTTTAAATAGATCTGCATTTGGTTATGTATTCAAGAGGCAGACTAAATCATCTTTGGTTTCTATATGTCAGGACTAAATGATGTTGATTAAGGTTCCAGTTGATTCATTTCATTTAATTTTAATTATATTTGTATGAATTTAGAGTAAAGAAACCTTTGCAGCTACACTTCATTAAACAGGCCTGTACCTGTTTCAGTGGAAAATTAAAATTTGTTTCTTCAGGATTAACTTTTTATATTCTACTACTAATGCAGATGTGCAGCGGAGTTGAGAAGAGTCTCAGTAGATACTTGGATAGTTGATGTGCAGTCCAATTTTTGTGCAAAACTAATTTATCATTTGGTCACATATTCTGGGTTCGCACCACCTTTTGTAAACAATATTGCATCTCATCTCAAGGGAACAACAAGAGGTCAGTTTAAACTATAAAAATGAAATATTAATGAGTTTTTGCTTTCCAAAGTTATGGTATTGAGGTGACGATTCAGATTTTGATCAGAAAGACATGGAAGTGCAGTTTTGTATTCCTCCTAATGTTATTTCCTTTTTGATCAGGTTGGGTTTGAGACTGTTGGAGAAACAATTACTACACTATAGCTATAGCCCAGCTTTTGGGTATAGATACTTCAGTCATTCATAAATCTACATTTACAGTAGATTGGGTCTTTCCCCTTTGTATTTAAAAGGAGCTTTGTTGAAATTGAACCAGCCAATTGACTTTTTTGTTGGTCGATTGGTTGTTTCTGGGTCAGTTGCCCATGCCAAATGCAGGTGAGTCTTGTGCCATATAGCTTAATCAATTTTCAAAGTGTTTGGGTTGTTTTTTTTTTTTTTGTTGTTGTTGTTGTTTGTTTGGTTCTTTTTAGGTTTTTAATCTGTGTGATGACTTGGCAGTTGCTTTTTGATATAAAACCAAAATGATGCCTTCACAAAATAAGTTTATTTTACTCTTCCATTTTTCTTCCACCTTTTTCATGCTTTACACGAAACAAATACTGAAATATACCAGTAAGTGTAATATGGCAGTCAGTCTTTCTGGGGTATAAAAATACCCCAGCCAATCTTTTTCTGCTATCACAGTTCATTACCCAAGAATAACCTGAATTGCCTTTGAAAACTGGTAAAGTCTTTGAGACAGTTACACTTGTCCTGGGACAGTGTTACATAACTATATATTTGGTGATGATTTAAGAAGCCCAAACCCTACCACATGCATGAATATATATATATATCCACACGCATGAATATATATATATATATATATAAATAGCCTCAAAAAATTAGACCAGGAATGTTCTATGAGTACCTCAGACTCAGAAGACAGATGGAGTCTCCTTTGGAGGCTTATCAGGCTTTCAATAGCAGATTTTTTGGTTCCACATACAGGACATTGAGATACCTCCTTTAAAACTAATTTCAACCAGTAGGGTAGTAATTATAGCTCTTATTATTTCCTTTTTTTTCCAATTCTATACAGAGGTACATGGAAAATGATCTGTTTTCATGACAGCAAAACATCTGCTGCCTTTCTCCTCCCACCATAGTGGCTGCTCTGTTCTAGTGCTATAACTAACTTTTCTGAGCTACTGTTAAATTTTTAACCCAGCTGTCCTACTCAGAAAAAACAGTTTGTCAGTGATGCTACACAGGATGTGGTTGCACTTTGTGAAAAATTTCCAATGGACAATCAACTTTTTATGTAATAAAATACTGGAAAAAATATTCTGAGTTTTGTTGATTTGAAGTTTGAGTTTTTCTTTAAACTGTTCTGACACAAACTACAACAGGTTTTCTGATCTTAACTTAGAGTGGTCAGAGCATTTCTCTGAACAGTCAGGTCAGCCTTGACTTCGAAGAGAATCTACTTTTCTGTCACTGTTCCTGAGCTCTTTCAATTTTGTCCCAAAAAGGAAATCATAAATTAAAACACCGTTTTGTAAAGATATGGAACAACTTACTTTTATCTGATATTTGGCTACTGTTCTTGATGTGTTTCTGGTAAGGCTTATACATTATTTCCATTCTTTCATCTGTGGCTCATTTCCTTTTTTTATCAGGGAGTAACACTGCCTTTTCCAGAGGGTTTTTCTTTTAATTGCATTGGATACTTAGAGAAATTCAAAGAGCCTGTGCCTGAACAGAGGGGATGCCTCTGGTTTTAAAATGCCTAATTTGTTGGTACTGTCATGTTTTTATTTATTAAGATTGCCCATCCTACTAGGTCCATTGATACCCTGCTGTTTGATAATTCTTACTCTGGGATAACATGAACTATTTTGGAATATCACTATTTTTTATCTTTTATACTGTGCCCTTTTAACAGACAAATCCCGCTGAATTCAGGTAGTATCAAATTGCTGGGAAGGAAAAGGAGGAAAATCACTTGGATTTTTTTGTGCTGGGGTTTTTTCTCCTGCAGCAGTCAGGTGGTGGAGGGGTTGGACACGGTGGCTCCAGAGCAGGAGAGCTCTGTGCAGAGCAGTTTTTGATTAGCATTTAAAAAGCTGCACTAACACACAACAATCAGGCACTGCACAGTGCCAGGCTTTAGCCAGGGACGGGTGGGAAATGCTTTGTTCCTTTTTGGTGTGATGCTACTTAACAGGGCAGTGTTGATCCTGGCTGGGTTATCAGTGGCATTTTATCAATTGTCTCTGTGACACCAGAACCAGGTCTGTTAACCATCATTTCAATTAATAGCAATAATGGTCATAATTATTTTTAAATTGGTGTTATTATTATTATTATTATTATTATTATTATTATTACTACATAGACATTGGTATTTTGGGAGAGAAAAATGGGACAGTTAAAAGAGCTTCAGCCTTTCCCCCCTCTTATTGGACAAAGGCTACAACTTCTCAGAAACAGAACCTTTTTTCTTTCTTACTCCAGAATTGCTGTGTCTCTGTTGCAGTGGGACTGAAGACACCCTTGTTATTTACAGAAGAGCAACTGCAATGCTCTAATTAATGGATTATTTTATTTCTAATTATCTAATTCTGTTTTTCCTTAGATAATTTATTGGTACCTCGAAAAAACCTGTGGGCCCATCTTTACTGCCTGTAACATCTGCTGCTTTTAAAGGTAATTATCAGTTGTGTCTGAACAGAGCCTGGACTTTGGTGTTGGCACCCTGCCCACCAGTTCTGTGGGAGGCACTGACCAGAGCACTGAGCACTCATTAAATCATTAATATTTAAATCAGCTCGGCTGCCTCAATTAGTGGCAGAGTTACATGTCATCAGGGCTCTGTGTGCATTAGAAAGAGGTGAGCAGCAAGGCCCTGGAATTTGCTTGCAAGGTGCAAGGATTAAACAGCACCATGAAGTGACCTGGATCTTGCTGTAACTAAAGTTTTTTCCTGTAGTGAGGAAGACTGAATTACAGGAATAAATAAATTACAGGAATAAATGTAGTGCAAGGGTGTATAGAAAGCAAGATCATGGTTGAGTACTTGCTGAGTCAATATAAAAATAAGCAAAAACGTTTAATAGGTGTATTTATGTGACCATTGCTATTATTTCTGAGATTCATGCCTGCAGGCCATCTTGTGTATTTGGGATTTTTTTAACTTGTCCTTCCATTTCATTCAACTTTTTTGCAAAAAAAAAAAAAAGAAAAAAAAGAAATGAGTCAGTTTTCATCCTCTCATCTAAAATGATATTTCAGAAGTGTCAAAATAGTATATATTTGAAATTATGTGAGACTTATACAAGAGTGTTTTATTATTCATCCTGCCAGTTGTATCCGCAGCCATACCCTGTGCCTTGCCAGCCCTTGATAGTCAGCTGCTGTCTTTCAGATGCTGTACAGCATGTTAATCACTGTGTGGACTTTCGATAATTGCACTTATAATAGGATGCAGTTGCCAGGATCTTAATGAAAGCACAGACATGCAAATGGTTTGGCATTTGAGACAGCAGTTGAGCACAAGATCTTGAAAAAACAACTGTCTTGCCTTTAATGTGGGTAGCAGGTAGTTTGTTGTGAACTAATGAGCTGTGTACCCTAATGAGGGCAAGACCACTTTCCTTTTATCACCACTCCTCTCAGCCTCTGTTCCCACATAACATCGCTATTTAAGCCATATTGCTGAGAGCTCAGATAAGCCAACTAAGGCCTGAAATTATTTCAGCCATGTTGCTATTTCTGGCAGTCGTGATAAACCAGGACAGTCTCACTTTCTGGGATGAGAAAATCACCTTTAGATTTGTAATCAGAGCGGTCCAAGAGACAGAGCTGTGGAACTCGAATACTGGAGCTTTCTCCAGGAAAGCAGAAATAAATGAGTTGCATTCATTTCCTTAGGTGTTGCTATCAGCTGGCAGGCCCTTTGCTTTCAGGTGAGGTATCTGTGCTTTAAGGAACATTATCCTGTTCTACTCATCCTACACTAACACAGCAGGAGAGGAGATGGGGTTATGGTGGGGCTGGCATTGTGAGCTCACATTACACCCTCTGGAAAAGGAAGAGAGAGAATTATTTCTAGGGAGCTTCCTCCTGAGCAATCTCCTGTTGAATCCTGTCCCCGTTCCCTTCATCGCGACTCGGCCGGGACGGCAGCGGCGCACGGCCCGGCGCGGCCACCAGGGGGCAAGCGCGGACAGGCAACGGCCGGTCCGGCTAAAAATTCATATGTAATGTAGTGTAAAATAAATTTTATATTATATATTTATTTTATATTTATTTTATTATATTATATATTATATTATAATTATATTTATTTATTTTATTTATTTATTTAATATATTTATATATATTTATTTTATATGTTTTACATATTATATTATATTATGTTATGGTATGGTATGGTATAGTATGGTATGTTATGGTATGGTATAGTATGGTATGGTATGTTATGGTATGGTATGTTATGGTATGGTATGGTATGTTATGGTATGGTATGGTATAGTATGGTATGTTATGGTATGGTATGGTATGGTATAGTATAGTATAGTATATTGCATTATATTGCATTATATTGCATTATATTGCATTATATTATATTATATTGCATTATATTATATTATATTGCATTATATTGTATCGTATTGTATTGTATCATATCATATATTGTCGGAATCTGTGGTATTGATGATTCCGAGGTTGTAGAAAGTCTCTGTCTTTCTGCCCCATTGCCAAAGCAGAAGCCATAATTCGTCTGTGCTGGTTTCAAGGTTGTTTATTCTGTTTATCTCTAACATGTTCTGCTGCCCTGCCGCAGCTCTGTCCTGCAGGGCAGCGTGTGGGGCTCTGCCCTCAGTGGGATGGTACAAACATTAAATACCACAAACTACCTGTGCTGAATTTACAATAACGTGCCAATATCTGTCACCTACGTTGAACAGTGTGTCCCCAGCCTAAACCAACAGAAAAATGCCAACACCACAGTGAAACATGGAGGGTGTGAAGGAGGAAAAGGACAAGACACACCCAATTTCCACCATCTTGTCCCCTTTGGACCCCTAATCTAGAATCCTAAAATTTTACTTTTGCATCCGTGCCACACTTAATTATTACTCATATGAAACACTCAGAGCTGGTAATTCATCCTGTAAGATTGAAAACTCTTCTCCATGGACAGAGATCACAGATAGTGTCTCTGGGGGCTCTGTCCAGGAGGGTTCCTGACCCCCTGCCAGGGTCCCCGACCTTCCAGGGCAGCCAGAGGGATGCCCTGCATTACCACAATATATCATATCATATCATATACAAATTATAATATAATATCATATCATGTCAAACATATAAAATAAATTATAATATATTCTATTGTGGCATTTCTGGACAGTGGACTTTGGAATACTTGCTTATGACTGTTGGACTCAGTGACCTTAGAGGTCTTTTCCAAGAGAAACTATTCCATTCTCTTCTAGTCTATAATACTCTTTTAATAATTTATATTATCTTGATAATATATAATCTAAATATTAAAATATGTTCTATTTTATGAAGCATATTGAATTGTGTTGTATTTTTATCTTGGGTAACAGATCCACTCAGGCAACCCTAGTCCCAGACACACAGATACACATGCTCAGAGACACAGAGCAGCAGTGGCACAGCAGTGATGTCTGCCTGTGTGCCGGCAGGAGCTGGGGTGGGGGGAACCCTCTTCACATCTCCCTTTGAGCCCCTCGAGTTGGGTGCATTTCCATTTTCCTGGCCTGTCACCCCATAGTGCCCCACCTGCCCTAAATCCAGGCCTTTCCCATGGCTCCAATGTCCCCCTGCCATTCCCATCTCCTTCCCTTCCCATCCTCCTCTTTCAGATCCTGCAGCTGTGACCAGGCAGTGAAAGGTGCTCTGGCCAACAAATGCAGACAGGGGCTGCTCGACCCCTTGGGTTTGTCTTTTGAAATAAGCAGGGAGACAAAAATAAAATAAGAAATTTGCACTGAATATTTATTTTGATAAACATTGTGTACTCCAAACAACTACGTGTTATTTCAGTTGTAAGCCACAATCTTTTGGAAACAACGTCCCAAGAGCTCTTGTCATCATAAACCCGACAGTCAATGCACCACCATGGTCTGTGGACATAGAGAGCTTTCAAGTGCAAAGCAGATTATCAGAAAAGACACATTGCCAACCTCCTTAACAAACTGGACAATGCTCAACTCCAGTAAAAATGCTTCATAAGTCTGCAATTTAGTTGTCTTAGTGCCATTGTAATAAATTAATAGAAAATATATCTTTTTTTTCATTGGAAAGTCTCTAAGAAAATGTACAAACATCTAACTCCGAAAAAAGACCAGCTGTTTCGGCGACAGGTAAAACAAGCAATTGAACAGAGGCAACAAAACCCAAACATCCAAACAAACAAAGAGACAAACAAAATGCAACCAAAAAAACCCCACTCCACCAATGGCAACTGTGTAGGCAAACCTGGAAACATCTGCAGGAATAAAACCTTACAGAGAGGGCGTTTATACATTTGGAGCAGGAGAATGGAAATGGCTGTGGCCAGTGGAGCACTGAAGGGACAACCCTGGCACTGAGGCTTGTACAGAGCCAAATCCCACTCCAGGCACATCCCTGCCTGCTTTCCTGCCCACCATCTAAGTGCTCATGAAGGAAATGCTCCTGCTTTGTCCATCTCCTGGAATCAAATGTGTTCAACAAAACTGCTGCAACCAACAGCACTGGCTCAGGGCAGGGAAAAGGTTTCAACAACCCAAGCTGACAGACCCAGGGGAATTCCTGTTACTCTCTTCCCTTGACTTCATGGATCTGGCACTGTTTTGGCCATCACAGGACATCAGATAAACTTTTTGGATGATCATGGTTGTGAGACTGACTCTTTCATGGAATAATTTTTGAAATCCCCAAACTATCATAACAATTTTGAGGAATAAACAACCCATCTTATTTGCCTTTTACAAATGTTGCCCATTCACTCTGCAAATGGCACAAATGCCTAAGGAGAATTCATAAGCAGACTCTTGTTGGGAAGCTGGGAAGGAACGTTTGGCTCTTCCTTTTTTTTTTTTTTTTTTTTTTTTTTTTTTTTTTTTTTTTTTTGTTAAATACAATACACATGACATTCAGTGAATTCAAAACAATTTTGTAGTAAGTCTGAAAAGAACATTTCCAGTTTAAAAACCCAGGAGAGGCTTGAGTGGAATGTAACCTACAGTATATCTAAATTCTGTTCATGCTTGCTTTGACATTCAGAGCAACTGATCTAAACCAGTATCTGCACAGCCTTTGGAATGACAAACTTGCTTTTTAGTCTAACTTCAAGGTAACATTTTTGATACTGTGGGGGAAAAAAAAACTTAATTACATAAAAAAAGTAGCCATCAGCAATTGAAATAATTTATGTGGCATGGGGGGCACACAGACATAAAGTGGGGAAATAAACCCAAGTCTTACTGGCAAGACTGACATTTTTAAAAAGATTTTCATGATGTCTTTCACACTTCCCCCCTGCCCTTAGATTTCTTAGAATAGCCACAGCCTCCAGAAACATGTGTGCGGTACTTTGGAGCAACTGACAGAAATACCACTGAATGCTAGAAATGCTTTCAGTGTTTTACAAGATAATGTTAACATCCCAGCTTCAAGAGATGCCCCTGTAAAGTCCTGACTCACTCTGCCCTGCCATCATCACCCAGGTCTTTGTCTGAAGCAGGGGGAAAGGAGGTACAAGACATCCAATAAGTGCATTGGGACTCTCACTTTAATTCTTCAGCTACCTGGCAAGACCTCATCCAGGTCTCATGGAACGCTCACAGGAGGACCAAGACATACTATCTTAAGCCTGAAGACAGGATCAAAAAGCAACACACAGCAGAGCAGTCTCATCCTGTTCCCTCTGATGTCCTGGGAAAGGCAAGGGCAGCTCACCCTATTTGATGCTGAATAAGGTAAGTCCCAGTATTCCTGGTCAAAAATCGGAAGCTTTGAATTGGGATGGAATTATCTGGCAACCATAAATTGATCCTGCAGGTTGTTATACAGAGGGAAAGGCTGAATTGGGAAGGCTGAGAAAATAGATGTGCTAATTGACATTGCTCTCCTTCTAGCCTGCAGCTGCTTGTTGAAGGAAAATTTCCTGTTTGCACAGCCACTATTAAAACTCCGTGATCCATAGGAAAAACACAGTTTTCTGAGGAAGCAGGAATAGGTGGTTCCATCAGTCTCTGCTGGCATGTTTTGTCCACTTCTGTCATTTCTTCCCCAACTATGTGCCATGGGCTGCATGTACAACACACACCCCAAAGAGCTTGATCAGACCTCACAGAAGCTTTAGGGAAAATGCTTACTGTCCAGTTACACTTCCCAGCATCCAGGTAATCACTCAAATCCACTCTTTCTACACCCGACTGTCAACCAGTCTTTGAACTGGCATTCCATGTCTACGTGAGCAGCTACTTACACTATGGAAAAGGAAAAGTCAACTTAGAGGATGGTGGATGCAACAATCCTTGATGGTCTTCGGACCAAGAACTGCCCTTCAGGAGGCAGCAGTACCACCAGTCTGTCCCAGGAGCAGAAGCAGCTCCTGGAGAAGCAGCTCGGCCTGGCTCAGTCCCCAGCCCTGAGCCGGCCCGGCCGCAGCCCGAACACGCGCTGGGCACGGGAGGGCTCTGCTGGCACACGGGGCCACTGAGCTGCTACACTGACATTACTTTTTCAACAGCAACAACAACAAAATGCTACACTGGTGGCACAGGCAGGCGAGGCCTGCGCAGAGCGGTCAGCAGTCCGTCCATCCATCCATCCGTCCGTCCGTCCGTCCGTCCCACGGGGCAGGGCTGGCGGCCAGCAGGCACAGCAGGGTGTCCTCACAACTTCATTTTCTTCACCACAGGGATTGGCAGTGCTTGGTAGATTTTAGCCGAGTCCTCGTTAGTGACCAGCTTCACCCAGACGGGGCGGAAGCTGCCTTTGAAGCCAACAAAAGCCACTTTTTCTGCAAATCAGAGCAAATGTATTTGGAGCGTGCCAGAACTGCACCAGAAACATGAAATGTAAATTATAGGGAATTTAGAGATTTTAGAGGAGCTAAGATTTTAGTTAGAGATAAGTCTTACTAGAGTTAATTCAAATAAATGAGTAGGCCTTGATGAAGTTAAGAGTTAGTAGTGAACTAATAATTGATTGCTTGTCAGTACAATATTTAGTTAGCTGGGTTTATAATGAAGAATATAGAAACTGACAAATTGCTTTTAGGAACATAAGACAATTGTGGGCCTCCTCTGTTCTGAAACCAATTGAAGACAAGGAATGGGAGTTCTACCAAGAGTTCATTTGTCATATTTGCATTGAAAAGTAGAAAGGTCAGAACGAGGAAGACTTCCTTTACTTCCTCATTTCGGGACCCCTCCCCATGAAAGGGACACCAACCCATTTCAAGGGACAAACTACGCATGCTTAATAGCTTTTGGAGTGATTAGCATACAAAGCGAGGAATGGGATGTGCCAAAATTATGAATATGTATTTGTATTTTGGGTATTCAATACTTGTATGGATAAAAGGGCTCTGTAATCACCTGGAAGCTGCGGTGTGTATTTGGGAGCGATCCTGCAAGCTGCCCGGCGTCAAATAAACATTCACTTTCTAACTTTATACTGTTAGAGAGTTTTTGTCCGTCACAGTTGCATACCGGTACTAGATCAATATCCATTTCTTTTTTAATAAATCAAACCCACCTGTGTGCATGGCTACACCTCATGGCTGGAGGGGTGCGGGTGCACAGGAGCCATGTGTGTAACACACACACACACAGATGGAATTATGCCAAGCAGCAATGTGCACATGGAGCTGTATCTTAATGCAATATCAAGTCAGAATGCCATCAAGTGCCATCAAGTCAGAATGTTTCAAGAGAAAACCAGCTAAAAACAAGTTCAGACAAGTAAAAAATCCTGGTTTGGGGCATTTAGTGGGTGAAAAGTCTCAATATTTCTAATATTAAAATGTCTTTTCATCTAAATTTAATCTGCAAAATCATATCCCCTGAATTATTTACCTCTAAGAAAAACTGCCAGCATGTTTTTTATATTTACAGTTTCAAATGGAGTATGTTACCCAAAGCTGCAGTGGATACAACCTTTCTGAATAAATAAATTACTGGATCTAGGATGTTTGAGCACATGTTGATAAAAATGAGCAAGGCAAAGTTAAGAAGCAGAAAAACAGCCCCTTTACTGGAATAATGGGAGATTAGAAATGAGTTTTTAAAAACTGGTTACCTTTTAACCTAAAACCCTCTCCTGCTCCAAGCTTCTCCAGTACTTTAGTCCATGGTCCTCTTGAAATGAATCTTCCTTTAGATGTCAGCAGCACTATGGAGCTGCAGGAAACAAAGAGGTGTGTAAATGGGTGAAGAGTCAGAACACATTCCTTGCTTGTTTGTCCTGAGCACTGGTAACTCCTGCCTGTGTGTTCACACACCCACGAACTACAGTGGCTTCAGCTTTAATGCTTTTCAATGCTTTCCAACAGTTTGGTCATAGATTATTTTTCCAGTCATGCAAAACCCATTAGAAAGCAGACAAAAGCCACATTTTTTTAATTTTTCAAAATGGTTTTCTAGGATGATTTAAATGTTTCCAACCTGCAGTTCCATCCTGCTTTGCTCAGAGAGACTCATCTTCTCCCTGGGATGCCCTTAGCAATTCTCAAGTAATTTCTTGTTCTTTCATTAGCAGACTAAACCTGAACAAATTCACTTCTCTGAGATTTTTGTTGGCCTGACTTTTTGGCTCTTTAAAAAGTGTGTTAATGTTATTACTACTGTTCCTGATCAGGAACTGAATTTAGCCAGGATTGAAATTTCTGTAAAGCAGGATGATGGCCTCTCTGAAAAGACTACTAATTTTTTTATATGAAAGAAAAGAGAGAAATGCTTCCCTGAAGTAACTATGTGATGTGATTTTTGAAACCTCTAGAATTATTTAAGACAACAGAAACACATCTGCCTGCACGTGCATGGCACTCTGCTCAAGCTTCCCTCAATTCTTTAGAGTAAATGCCACAACAATATCATGTTAATCTGCCCACAGCTATTTCAGATGATTTGTCAACAAAGCACTCATATTTGCACATCAGATTTCAAATCCAAACAGATTTCATAACAATTAAATATATTCACTTCCCATGAGCACTCCACAAGCTAATGTGGGAACATCCCCTTTGCTCAATGGGGTTTCTGATGTGGTTCCAATTCTCCTTCCAGCAGAAGAAGCCATTGTCCTCCAAGATGCAGGAACATCTTTTGGCTACTTATTACTTATTTCCAAAACTCTGCATTCCTGGCTGCAAATACTTAAAATACAAAATAATCCAGCCTTTAGGTCTGAGCAGGGGATTGTATTTTATTAGTGGAATTTTCTGCAATTTGAGAAAACATACATGCAGTAAAAAAAACACAAGCTGTGTCCATCTGTAGGGATCTGTGCTTTGAGAATTCAAGTCTGCAGATTGTCTATAACCCACAACATAAATGCAGCTCTGCAGTTTATTAATCACATGCAGCCCCGCAAATTATCTGGGGCTCAATCAGTGCCTAAATCAGAGTGTGCATCCTGCTGCTGCCTGCATGTCCTGCACACATTTGGGCTCTCCTGGAGTCATCAGGCACAAAAATACTTTGGGTGTGCTGCTCTGCTTCCTGTCTGGCCCATGTTGGGTGATAAAATCCAAGAAAAAGATGAGTGTTATGCAGCATTCTTGTACATTGCACCTTAGTGAGAACAGATTATTTACTCACTGATCTTTGATGTTGTTGACATAATTCTCTATCTGTGCTGGGATTCCTTGTAGAATGGAGTTTTTGAATGTAACTCGATCAACAACTTTTCCATGATGTCCATCAATCACAACCAGCTGGATACCCTCTTCAGTGAGGAAAAATCTGACACCATCAACCTGGGCAAGGGGAAAGATATTCTTCATCTCTCACAGTACCACAATTGCAAACAACCACCTTTAAGAAGCACTGATAGTCTTGAGTCACAGGACTGCTGTTTGCTTCAAAGGGCAGAATTCTGAGGTCCTGCTATCCTGACTATCAGAAGAAGAAACAGCTTTTTTTTTTTTTTTTTTTTTTTTCCCAAAATACAAAGCAGAAATGACCCAAATTTAACTCTCCATGGTAACTTTGTAAGCAAGTTTACCATGAAGATAAAGCAAGTGGTGTAGAATTGCACCCCATTAAGTTCTTTGAGAGGATTTGCTCACCTCAATGTATGCAAAGTCATCCTTCAGGTGGAAGTACTGTTTCTTGTAAGTTTCTATTTTCACTTCAATTAGGTGGTCCTTGGTCTTCTGCTTGCCAAATATAAAAAAACAGATTTTCTAGTGAGAATGTCCATTACATGAATGCTGCATTTCCAATGAAAACATTTCAAACCCTGAAATTCAATCAACAAGGAAGCTACATGATAAGCACTGACTTGCCAAATTAAATTGCTAATGGAATTGGGCACAATGGTAACCTCTCTGCTCATCCTGTCACCAGTTAGGCTGTTTCACTGAATGGCAGAGTGATTCTAACATTGCAGAACTGACACATAATTCTCCAAGGCTTTGCTGTGTAATCCTGTTTCAAGGGTGATGAGTGAAAAAACCCAAATAACAGACAAATACCCCACTTCCTTCCCCAGAACCAGACTGAATACTATTATACATTATATAAACGAGAATAATTCAGCTCTGCCATTCAGTCCCCTGTCTGTCACTGCTGTTCTTACAGCCTGGAGGAGCTGGAGGCTCCAAAATCACATTCACTGGACCAATTTGTCTTCCAGCTCATCAGTTTTCACCCTGCACTTTCAGGAACAGCATGTCACATCAGAGCCCCAAAAGAACGAGTAACAGCTTGCAAAGGCTCTCACACATTGCAAGAATCTGTTTCATGTGATTTCACCTGCCTGAACCATTTCAGAAAATCAGGCACAGAATATACTAACCCTGGCACAAAGTTTTTTTCTATCTGTGGGCACAATATGTGCCATATTTACATGAGCAATGATTCTGTGATAAGAAATCAGCTGCTTTACCAGTTGTGCACTGGAGAGTTTCTTTGGCATTGGCACTTCCACTATTGGCGTCTCAATGTACTTGGGGTAGGCTGTGGCTTCACAGTCGCTGACACCAGCTGTCTTTGGGATCACAGCTTTGATTCTTATTCTCTCACAGCCCTTTACAGAGCAGAAAGCAAACCTCTCCTTCTCATTTTGAGCTTTGAGTTTCAGAAAGAGCAGCCTGCAAGCAGGAAAAAAAAAGCAAACAGCATCCTTCAAACTTTTTGTGCAAAAACATACTGTTTTGGTGAATTCATTCCTATGCTTTGCAATAATTTTCACTGCAGCCCTTGGCACCGTGTTTTATAGTGCCCAACATCCCACATGCAAATAAAAGGGAGATCTCATCTCACAAATGGTTTAGGGAGCTCATGGAAAGTAAAACCGAGAAATCAGATAGCACCTGAACACCGTCTGAGCTCTATTCCATAGTGATACATATATGTAGAAATACAGGCTTTGTATTTTAGGTCTTTCTTTCTTTCCCATTATTTTAATCCTTTAAAATAACAGGCTTTGCACTTAGTTCCTGTGCATCCCTGCCATGGTTTATAAATTGTTGTTGTTCAAAACAATAAGGGCTGTGCATGTCTTCAGTTAAGTTTTGTGGTCGGGACTTTGCTTTTGTCTTTTGTTTTTTTTTTTTCTTTTCTAATTTGTATTCACTTGGAAAAGCATTTCCCAGCGTAAAGGCAGTGCAGCAGAGGTTGTGAACGACTGGCAGGCCTGGGAATCCCAGGAAAATGAAACACTGGTCACATTTCCAGAAAACCTTCCTGGTTTGGTTGCGATCCCCGCTAGCGGCATCAGGCAAACAGCTCACAGCTCCAGCAGCATTCCCAAAGCAATGCCCAAGCCAGCAAGGCCAATCTTACCCAGTGTCCTCATCCCAGTAGTAGTACCCTTTGGTAGGGTATCTGTGCTCCAGTTTCTCCATTTGGGAGGTTCTGTAGAAGGTCCCAGTTTTGTATGTTTTCTTCAAGAGACGGTTGTGGATGTCTGAGAGAATGGAAAATGTCGTCCCCTTAGGATAGCAAAACCCTACTTGGATCCAGTCATTCCTAAAAATAGCAAAGACCCACATTGTAACAAGTTATAATTATTATTTTCCTGGCATGCTAGAAGCGAAACTAAATAATTTACAATAAGTTTTTTCCTGTCCAGCTAAAATTTTCATTGTTTAGATTGGATTAAAGCAACATAAATTAGACACAACAACCATGGGTTAGTTAAGCAAAGTAGGGCAGGTCTGCTCCTGACTTCTACACCTGTGACTTCCATGCACCAGGAATGAATTAGCTCTGAACTTCCAAAAATGAACTGTGTTATCTTAGAGAGCTTCCTGGGGGAGGAAGCAAGAACCTGAGATGGCTCATGAAAAGATGAACTCAATGGACTTCCTGTAACAGGCATGTTCATTCTGGAAGAGCTCGTGAGGTGATGACCTCACCCATTAAAAATGTGCAGCTACATGACTGTACTGGAATGCTGGGGCTCAGTTCACTCACTTGTTGAAGTTGATGAGCCATATGGCCAGCTCTTCAGGGGCTGTCTTGTCCCAGTGGATGGTGTAGCCTTTCCTCAGAGTTATAACTGGCTGATACTGCTGGTAATGAGTGCTTTTGCTCAAAGCCCCTTCCAAGTAGAGCGGGTGATTGTGGTAGTCATTTTTTATTATTTTCATTTTAAGGTTGGCTGGCTTGTAGGCTTGGATGTATATCTAGATGGGGGAAAAAACCAAAACAACCAAAAAAAAAAAGATCACCAAGGGTTTAATGAACTACACTGAAAGGTTAAGATTCTCAATAGATGTGAGCTGGAGCAAGTCCTGTGTACTGGGCAGGAACCTGTGGGCTGTGCACTTATGTTCAATTTCTTAGACTTCCATTTCAACAAAGCTAAATGTTTTCAGGAAAAAAAAAAAAAAAGCTCATTTCCTCATCCACTGAGTTCAAGTGCATGTGCTAGAAGCTGCAGCAGGGCTGAGATATTCCACAGCATCCTGCAGCAGCAGGACAGTATCTACCTCAGACATCTGACTTGTACTGATGAAGGATCCCTCTGTCTGGATTTCAGAAGCCTGAAACCCAGCTCAGTGGTTAGAAATTGGCTTAGTGGCACTACACACAAATAACCCCAACTGTTGCAACACACAAGACAAAGCCTGGCCCTCTCAGCAGAGGAAAGTGAGGACACTCATGGCAGCAGCACTCAGGGCTCCTGTGGTGGGAAGAATGGTTTGGTGGTCACACACAGGATGAAAGACCGTGGAAGCTGAAGTCTAATTTCAACTCATCAGCACATTTCCCGTAACACTATGGGCAACACTTCCCTCCATAAATCAGGGGAAAATAACTAGCTGACAGCCCATGGATTTATGAATATTAATGTATGAATGCCCATGGAGCTCTCAGGAGGCTTCAGGCAGAAGTTGGAGCTGTCAGCAGCCAAGGCCAAGGTTTCAGAAAATACACCGCAGTATTCCTCATGTTCAAAGCCACCTGTGCAGACATGCTGATAAATAAACACTGAGCACTCTGAAGAAACACTATTTCTACAGGTCAAGCTTTAAAGTGCCAAGAAATTTGAAACAAACCAAAGTGATAATGATACTGCAAGGTGAGCAGCCTTACCTGTGCAAAGTGCCCGCTGCAGATGGAGCCTCTCCAGTCAGGTACATCAATGCAGTCAGGGTGCTTGATCAACCAGTTATCCTCTTTGATCAGGTATGAGCCTGGATATTCTGACACAGAACCATCCACATCATGAAAAACTGATGTTTTGTCACCATCCATATCCAGATCATTGAACCACGGGCCAGGTTCTCCAAAGAAGACTCTTGAAGTAATCTAAACAAAACAGTGGAACAAATTTACATCTCCAGAAAGGAATTAATCACTTAGAGTACAAGTAAAGGATGGCCTTGGTCACTACAGTGGCTCAAATTACCCATTTTCTGGCTTAAAAGGTGTGTTTGACTTGTCAGGCAGAGCAGACACACATTTCCCTGCTGACCATGGGGGAATGGTTAAAAACAACCCCACAATTTCAGCCTCATCAGTGGGAAGATTTGTTTGAAAATTCCAGAGGAAGGTTCAGGAGATGGGGCAATTTCACGAGAGCCACTTCACTCATTGTTTGCTAACATGAAGTCATACCAATGTGGGAAACAGTCAGCCCTGGGAAATGGCTGCTCAGGCAACTTCTGACTGATATTTTTATCCAGCATAAATAAATGTCATGTCACCAGCCTGCCTTGTGCAATGTGAGAGTGACCAACCAACACTTTTAGGGGAATTTTGCCTTTCCCATCATATTTGGCACTGGTCAGCACTTTTCGTGACCTGTGAGCAAGCCTGCTAATTTTTTGAAAATTAGGCAACACAAATCATTTCAGTTCAACCACTTTATTTATTTATTTGTTTGTAATTTTTGGCAGCTGGATTTAACAGCTGCTAAAGGTGAACCTCAGTGAAACAGTTAGCAGGCAAATACAAAAATAACTCAAAAGAACAGGCCCCAGGACGGGTTCAGACCAGCACCCAGAGGTTCATACTGTAATTCAAAATTTTGCAAACCCCTTTTGGCTGGACTCTGCTCTCATTTATGTCTGCAGAACTGGAGTCTGGAATTACCCTGGTGTGCAGGGCTACGGAATTATCCTGCATCAGCTCAGCTTCACTGGCTGTTCCCCAAAATCAGTATTTTCTGCTTCTAGGTCAGTCAGGCCTTTCAGAACAGACTTCCTTCTGTTGCTTTAATATTATACCACTGTTGAAAATAAAGGGGGGTTGATTCTTCAGTTTCTGAGTCGTACAGAACTGGAAATTATTTTCACTTCAATGCTGCTTTTTTTTTTTTTTTTTTTTCAACCGATCCCTGCATCTGTTTTGCTGCAAACCTGACAGACAATTGGATCTTCTTGTTATTGCACCCATCACATTTCCTCTTTCTTTACACTGTTAGACTTCTGGCAAAGTCAACCGGCAAGATTCTCTCTTTTTTTTGCCCACCCCCCCTTTTCCAAGGCTGGGAAGGCTGTGTGGGAAGGGTGACTCACGGGGACATCTTGGAAGCGGATGGCGGTGACGTTGTTGTTGGGGCAGCTCTGCCAGGCGTTGTTGAGGCGGAAGGCGAGGGCACTCGTGTGCCGCCCGTCCAGCGCCGCGAACTTGCGGAACGTGCAGTTCTGGACGTTGATGGGCCCATCGTAGAACTGGATCCCTCGGATGGGAAAATCCCTAAAATACATTCGGGGGAGACAGAGAGACTTGGTCATGGCACGTTAGCATCAGGAGGAGATGTATTCTAGACACGCACGGTCCCACAGCGCTTGTTTCGTGGCTGCTTTCATTTCTTGCAGGCCATAGGATGACTCCTAAGTTCCTGCTTTGGAAGATAAGGGATTTCCCTTATTTTCAGCTCTGTAAAGTCCTCTTATCCTTGAAAGTTCAGCTCAAGTTCTCTCATGTTGAACAGATCATCTTTATTTAGCCTGCACATCTCCAGGGAAGGAAGTAACAGCAATGCCAAAGGACTGACCTAAAGATGAATAAATTCGCGTTTGCCATCAGAAATGAGTTCTGCAGCAGTGAAACCTGAAACTCAGCAGAGCTGTGCAGACTCCTTGGGCTGAGTAATAGCAAGGCTAAAAGAAGTCCCACCACATCTTTCAAAGGGATTTGGAGAGAAGCATTGCAGATCAACTGCAATAAAAAAAAGGTTTTGAAAACAAGGAAAGGTCCTACAATCTGTAGAGCTAAGAAGAGTTGACAGGGCAGATTAATTAATCTTTATCAGCCTTTTCTGATATCACCTGCAAGGTAAAGAAGACACCATTTTCACACCAATTGAATGAACAAGATGCTTAAGAGACTAAAATAAGACATTTCAAATGTCATTTATGATAAATAAATTTGATCCCTTCCTCATATGATCCCTTAGAGAATTCCTGCCTGCTCCAGTGCATTTATTCTGAGTTTCTGCATACAACATCCAAGATGAGATATGTCCACATATATATATGTGTGTGTCTGTGTGTGTGCATAAAGGATATTAGGAGAGTCATAGCAGAATGGGTTTTCACTATTGGAATAGTTCATAATAGGTGTCCAGCATCACTGCTGACAGCAAAATTTAGGCCTGCAATATGGCAGAAATGCATCAGCTGAGCTGTTTGCTCACTGTGGGGCTACTTTTAGGATAACTGTTTTTAGGAAACAAAAGCATTGCACTTGCAAACCAATCTACAGGACTAAAGTCTAGGAGAAGGCTACACATGAAGTTCACTGGCCATTTCAAAACTGCTTAACAAAGGCATTAAAGTCCCTCACAGGAACAACAGAAACAACAGCACTTATCACACCCATGACCACATGCAAGCCTAGGAAGCCTTCTATGAGCCTTCCTGGCAGCTGATGGAGCTCATCTCATTGCTCAGCACTGCTGATCACACGTACAGAGGTGCCCTGCTAGCACAGAGTACTCTTGCCGTCCTCTCAAATCCCCTTGCAAAGGGAGGGGGAAGGAAAGACGAGCTTGATCTGTCTTGGCAGCCTGTAAGGATGTACCTGCCAGCAGCAGCTGCACAGTGAGGACTCTGGGATTAGGAGACATGAAATTAAATCCTTTCTGTGTAATGGTTATTAAACTGAACAGCGCTGAGGAAACCACACTGGGCTGGATTTGTGCTGGGAGCGGGAACCGTGAGAGCTTTGATGTGCAGAGCTGAACTTACGGGCCGATGGGCAGGGTCCTTCCCCGGTGATCCAGACCTCCAGGCCCCCAGATCTCATTGTCCATCATCTCAGTGCCCAGGTTTCCACTCTCACCGACAAACAGGCTGTTCTTGATTTCCTGCTTGGAGCCGTCATCGTGAGGGAAGGTCCCACCGCTGAAAGAAAGGGCTGGAGGTGAAAGGGCTGCTCACACCCAGCCCAGCCCTTGCCCAGGCTGCACACTGCCCTGCCACACTTACCTCGCCAAGGTCAGCCCAATGCCATTGTCTGCAAACCTGCCAAGAGAAGAGAGATGCTTCAGAAGAGATTTGGGCTTGCTTTGGTTTGTCACGTCAAACTATAACAAGCAAACCAGTGGAGGACAGCAGGGATTAATTACTGTACAGTGCTCAGGGGAACTCGGGTTTTTCCAGACTTGTTCCCATTCCAGTTTTAGAAGATCTCCTTTGGCACATCTTGCAGAATTTGCAGATCACATGAAGCAGCAGACACACACCTGATTGCTCCAGCTGGGTTAAGATGGTGATTTCCAGCCACAGTTTACTTGCCTGATAAAGCTTTATCCCTTTGTCTAGTGATCACACACTTTTCTCTGGTAGATAAAAGAATCATGCTTATCTCCCACTCCAACCACCTTTTATTTTTTAATAGTGCTTTGCCTTACACACTGTCTTCATGTTTCACAAACTACTTCCATAAAAGAGCTTTGCAAGGTGATAAAAAAAGAGCAGCTTGGCTTCTCTTTCCTCAACAGGAATACAGAAATCAGAGCTTCCTTATTGAAAATAATAATAGCAAAAAAAATATAATATCTTTCTATTTTGCTGAAATTTCAGGATAAGATAAATCATAGATGTTGGTCCTTGACTGCTGCTTAGAGAAATGCTACAACGAATTGATAGTTCGTGCCAGTCTTGATGGTGTCTTCACAGCGGCATCACCTCCCACGTCTGTCACTGATCCTGGCAGTGGTTTGGGAGCAGATCCCCTCACTGTGCTGCTGTCTGTAGGTGGCAGCCCTTCCCACCCTATCGCCTCCTTGCTTCCCTGCAGCCCACATTAACGCTGGCCTTGTTAATGGCATAGATAAATTAGATTCTAGCCGTAGAAATGGAAATGGCTCTGGTTATAAAGACAATTACAGTTTGATGGCTGCTTCCTCCAATTCACACAACTCAGAGATTTGCAGCCGGAAATTCATAAAGTATTTGGTGTTTTAGCACCCTGCCTTTGCTCCATGAGCAATGCAAATGTCCCAGTGACCTGAGTGGGATCTGTGAGTATAACAGTTCCCAGCCTTGGAGCGGGATGGATTCTTGTGGGTCATAAGAAACACAAACTGTATTGCCCAATATAACATTTCTGAGTGTTCTGCTACAGCCCCATTCTCACCAGGTCACTACTGCCAGCTTATCCCACTGGTTGCTTTAAGAGGTTTGGGTCACTCAAAGGTAAGGCAGCTCTGGCAGGGAATTGCACACCAGATATCAGCGTGGCAGCCATTCCCTCCAGGGTTATCACAATATCCCTCCTAAAGGGGCTTTTTCCTTTTTCTCCTCTTCGCTAGGATTGATATCAGAAGCCTGGCTCAGAAACAGAAACTGCAGCAGATCATCTGTTTTCAAGTGCAAAACAAATATCAGCTCTGGCCAGGGCAGGAAATGGCCTTCAAAGAGCACAACACACACTTGCCCAGACTCTCCCTTGCTGCTGTGATGCATAGTTTTATGTCTGCTTCAACACTACCTGCTTATTCAGCATTACACTTAACCACATAAAACTGATCTGTGACCAGGCTGAGCCAGGAAAGGTGGTGCATTTCACTGTTTTCTTTTCAAAGCACCTCATTTTTCATATTAAAAAAAATTAGGTTTTATTTTTAGTTACTTGCATCTGTGTGCCTCTGTGTGTGTATTGTGACGATGTATAGATGCTGGTCAGCATCACACAGAGAAACAACCTGAGGGATTCTCAGCCCAGACAAAGCAGGTTTTGTTTGTGTAAAATAATGCCTGTGGTGGCTTAACATTTCATCCTCATTTCAATCTTGGCCATATGAAAGGTGAAAAGCGATATAAATAGTCTGAACCACAGCTATGCTCGCCATAAACACCAGGCTGAACTCTGAGAGTTGAAATAAGGCAAAACTCACTGGCAGTTGTCCAGCCACACATCTCCACCTCGCAGCCAGGCCCCGTGATCCTGATTCTTGTAGGCGATAAAGCCCTCAATTATTGCAGGTTCCCTGGGCTTCAAAGGATCAGCATCCTTGTGCGGGCTGTACCTGCAAGCAGAAGGAGAGAGGATGGGTTGGTGAGGGAAGGTGGCCGTGCTGCCTGCATGGCTGCTAAACATCTGCTTTGTGGTAACCCAGGAACAGCTCTGGGACCACAGTCCACCCATGAGCGTGTCTGCTCAAGCTGCAATGGCCAGACCCAGCTGCCAAGGGAAGGAAGGTCCAGGCAAGGCAGTTGTAAAGACCTGCTCCAAGTTTCCTTTCAACTTTCCAGCATTGTATTGCTGATGTAATGCTGAAAGCATGGAAAGTTTAGTATTGCTCCCAAAAGTTCCAGATATTCTTTTTTTAATCCCTTACTGTTATCCTTTAGCATGTTCCTGTTATTTAGATAAATATCCTTTTGTTCTCCCTTTTGAGCATTCTTATCTCCTAACTCTGGCTATAATGTGGCCATGAGAACCACTGCCAAATTTTTCTTGCTGTGGAAAGGAATTTAAAAATCTTGGAAAGGGGCTAAGAGTATGTCCTTCACTACTCCTACTATACAGGACACACGTACAAGATTTAGTAACCCTGAAGTTCTCACTGTGATGAAATATTGACCTGATTTGGTGAAAAAAAAAAAAGCAGATAGAAGCAGAAACTGCAGCAATGTGTGCCCTCAGCTGCTCCCTGACAGCTTGGGCCACAGGATCTGAGCAAGGTGATGCTGAGCTTGGCTGTTGTGTACCCCATCCTAAGGCACCGTGTTCCTTTCTGCTCCTGGAGGAGCATCCTCCATCACACTACACAGCTTAGAAAACCTGACAGATGAGTATCCAACTCAGTGCCAACAACGGATGGTTCAGAGATTAAAATTCATTCCTCACCATGGATAGCGAGGCCAAGCTGTCAAATTGCTAACAGATATTCAATAGCACTTTGCTTTGCTTAATAAGCCATCATATCAATCTAAAACTGAGCATCAGGCTGATAGGGTTCCAATAAATGAATATTGCTTTGGCAGCTTCATCACTGTGAATTTACTTTCGGAGACAGATTTAGTATCAGCTCTTCTGAATTCCCCAGGCATTGTTAAGTACAGATATTTTAAGTTGGATTCCAATTTCATTCAAATCCATGATAACTGGAGGAACACTACAGGGTCTAGAATTTGACTTGGACATTTAATGCTGTTAGTGAATGCAGAATAATCTCTCCAACTCTGTCACAGTCCAGCCTAGCTCACAGTTTGCTCCAGCCAGCCAAACTTAGTCATTTATTCAGTTCCATCTTGACACACGAAAGGTGGAAGATGAAATAAATAATCTGAGCTGCAGTTTATGCTGCTGGGTAATCCCTGAGCACAACCATGAGTGCATTATGAATTGTTTGGCTTCCAAGGGCCATTCCTGCCCTTGTATGGCAAGGGAGAAATTGCCTTTTCTAACCACTAACTGCGCCTGTGGCAGCAGGCAGTTCCCCAAGGCACGTGTTCAGCTGCATGGAAAAGCAGCATCAGGGTCCCAAGAGCAGGCTGCTCTTAAGTTATTTTTTTAGCAGCTACTTTTACCATTGAATTAATCACTTAAATTAACTGAGCATTTAAATAATGTAAATAATATTCACTTTTGAACATCTTTTAGCATCAGCTGCTAGCCAGGGCATGGGGGTAATGTGGATAACTGATATCTGAGCTCCTGGCTGGGCTCTCCTGGGAAGGACGATGGATCCCACCCCTGTCATGCTTGCCCAGTGCATGACTACAGTAGTCTGGGTAACCCACACCCCAGAGATGAGAAGGAGATAGAGCTGTCATTCTCCCCTGCTGGGCAGAGGCTTTCAGCAGGTTTCTCTTCCTTACGTGGTCTCTTCTGTCAAGAAATGCAGTTGTGGGGGAATGTAGGTTAGGGGGCAACTGGAGGCAATTGGTCTGTTAGGAATGAAACTATGAAATTTGAGAGTATTTAAGTCCTTTCACATGTCTGGGGGTTGGTAACTAAGAGCCAGACTCAACCTCTAATGAGATACAAGGGTGCAGGTGCAGCTCTTTCATCAGCCTCCTCTGGGGCCGGCTCTGGGGAAGGAGAGGGTTCACAGAAGCCACCCGACCACAGTAGGTCTGCTGATATGATACAATCTATAGAGGGGTTTCCATTATTTCTAAATTACTCCATTACACCACAGAGAGGCTGTGCACAGCAGCAGGAATGAAGGATCACTCTGTGTATTTAATTGTGATTGTTATTGCAGTGTCAGACTTGGAACTAGACTGAAATATGAAATCAAAACATGAGCTCCATGACATAAACACTTCCTGTTCAAGCAGGTTCTAAAAGAATGAACAAAATCAATAGCATTCCCAAGAAATACTCAAATTTCTTATTCCTAAGAAGCCCTTACAGCAACTTCTGCCCAGAGGGACTTTTGACCAGGCAGTGAATTTTCTTCCTTATCTAAAAAATTCAAAAATCAATGTAACACCCTACAGCAGATGTAATATCCACGCCAGCTCAGCTCAGAGCTAAAGAATGAGGATGAAACCAGAAGGGTGTGGGTGTTGAGGGTCCCTTATAAAGGAGAATGGAGAGATGAAGTCAGAAACAGCAAGGTGTATCTAAGTGAAGACCTTTCCTCAAAAAGAGCCCCCAAAAGGCATTGCAGTGATTCTTGTGAGCTTCCCTGGAGAATTTCATAGCTTTCAGTCAGTGTTTTAGAGAAGTCTTTTCCAAATCAAACTATGCAAAACAATTTACCTCCCAGAAATCAGTGTCAGGATAGGTCTTTTGTCCTTGGCAGAGGCTGGGGTGGTTTTAACGCCATTATCAATGATCATTCCAGCCTAAAGGAAAACAGAAATGCAATTATCACAGTATATTTATAAATTTTACAGCTCTTTCTATCTCCAGACTCTACCTCCAATTGTTCTAAGCCAAAGTCACCCACATGATGCTAAGAACATCTTCTGTTAATAGTATGTGAAACAGAGGGCTGCCAGACTTGCATATATGCCCCAAAATGGCTGCACATTTCCAAAGCTGCACTTTTCTCCTAATTGCATGTATTCCCATACACCTAAACCTTCTGCTTCAGTCTAAAGCCCTCAGAAGCACACAGCCACACAACAATGAGGAGTAAATAAGCAGAGGCGGCGATGAAACAGAGCGGCCGTGTTTATCCCTCTAGAACTGTTCAGGTAATTGCCAGCACTGGCAGCTGAGGTGTATAACTAGACAAGCTCCAGCAGATGCTCCTGGAGCAGTATTTCAGAAGCAGAGAGGCAGGGAAGGAGCAGAGGGATGCTGTTTGCTCTGAGGGCAGCGTTCCCGTTCCGTTGTGCAGACTCACCCGGTAGTTGGAATGCGCGCGGTTGTTGGAGAACTTCCCCATCGGCATGTGCTCCGAGTAGCCGGGGGAATACATCCCTGCCGAGGGGCCTGTGGGCACGTGGTGCAGGACAAACCAAAACCCTGTTTCCTGAGAGAGAAAAGGGACATCTGAGACTTTGCTAGACTGCACTAGCCCCAGGAGAGCTCAGCAAAGCCACGAGACACACGCCAGAAGATTCCAGGACAAATCACGGCCATTGACCCGTGTAATACTCTGCAGCAAAGAGGTTAATGCACATCAACATTGATATTCACCCTTCTGATCTTCAGGGTGCCTCAGGTTAAGTTTTGGCATCAATATTGAAGCATAAGTGAGACTTTCCAAACTTAAAAATCAAATAATTTTTATTTAGCTGCCTAAAAATTTATCATGGAGTCCTAATATAGGTAGCCAAGATTTGAAAGCTTTGGAAAGACCACATCTCTCTGTTTTAGGCTTGGTTTTCTTGTTTTTATGTCTTCTCAGGACAATAAGGGCTCCTGACGTGACCAGAAATGCCTGTGGAATTAGCATTAGGGCTGACTGAAATTTCAGAGCACCATTATTGTACTTCAATCAACAATATCATTGCCAAAGGCTTCTCTGTGACTCCACAGTCAGATTTATTTAATTTATTCAGGCTGCACACTATGAAATTTTGTTAAATCCAGCTCTAGAAACATCAAGTGACAAGAAGTTTGGAGCAAAAGTAAAACCATTCTTTTTATTGGTGGCACCAGTCACATTAATGTGTGTCTCAATCAAGCAGCTTTAAAAATAGCTTTTATTCCAGTGAGAGCCTCCCTCAGCCTTGCAGGGCTGTCACTGGCCTGAGCTGTTACCAAATAAGAAACTTGTGCACTCACTTCAGATCCAGCAGCTGCACAGTTTATAAGGTTGTTGTGTGGGTTGGCTATCCAGAAGGTGGATACAGCACTGCAGGTCAGGAAAACAAAAAATAACATGAAAATGACTCTTTGAGCACACACCAGAGTCACCCATAAACTCCCCCAGTGCAGACAGGGCTGATGCCTCCCCAGATAAGGGGTCCTGCCCAGGGGCAAGAGGAATCTGTTTTTTCTTTCTCTTCTCATACCTTGTGTCCTCTGTGGTTTGACAGAGAACATGGCCTTATCTTTTAAAACACCACATATTAAATGAGGAATTTCAACTGTAATTCCAAGCCTGCTATGAAGCTGTCAGATGTCAATCATGTTTTATAAGGTAAATATGTTGTTGCACAGGTCACAGAAAGGAACTTTGCCCCCACATAAGCCCTTGGGTTCATTAGAGACTCGTTTAATCAAGGAACCCAATGAATTGCCTGCTAAGGGCTTTCCAAGTGCACCCCCATATCTGCCTGTTCCAAGAGCTGCTGTGATTGATTAACTTTATTTGCTCCCACCCTTCTGCACATTTCTTCTGGGACAAAAGCATTCCATTTGTCTACTGCACATAAAAGGCTCTTAATTGAAAGATTCCCATCAAGGAAGACAGATCAATCCATCCATCACTGTCCATCCTGTTAGATACAGAATTTGTTAACCAACAGGTATGGGAAACATCCAGCACTTACAGTCAGCAGACTGGCCCCAAAATTTGCTGTGTGAGGTTAGCCCTTCTTCAGGATATAAACTTGTGGAATTCCTATGTCTATTTTAATCTTGCCATCACAGGCTTTAGGCCAACTGATTTTGCTGATGCATTTCTGTTTGTCTGACTTTATCACGAAAACAGCAAAATTTTTCTATTTTGGGCGTGGGACTGGCCTAGAAATAAACAAATTTGGATTATTTATAGACCACCCCCTGCTGTGTAGGCAAGGGCAAGGACAGTGTATTTTCACTGTGACCTGTCTTTCAGCCTAATCCAGTTCTTCAGAGCCACATGGATTGGGCAGGTTACAGTGTCATTTGGCACAATCCTGTTGTTTTAATTCCTAGCAGCAGCTCCCTGCCTGCCTCTCCCTAGCTGGTGGAACCACAGCTGGTACTCATCCCCTGTCTCTGTACTGGGATTTGTGTTGGTGTACTCGTGCACTTCCAGGCTGGATGAGCTCAGTGCAAATCAAGCTGAGCTGTTTTTATGACCAGATCTTGAATTCTTTTATAAAGGAAGACAGGTCAGATCAAAGTACCATAACACTTTTCCATTAGGAAGCACTCATTCATGCAACAGTCTTCAAAATTACACACAAAATATGTCCCTATGACTATTAAATAAATTATCAGTGGAAAATGAACACATTGGCTAATTAACCCTTATTTTATGAATAGGGACATTAGGTGTATTTTATAAACAAACACAGATGTGAAAAAGAGCATTGCATGAATTCTTCTCTCTCCCTTGCGAAACTAAAAAGTTGAAAACACCTTTGTTTGAACAAAACCTCAGCTTGTTCTGAGGACAAAATGGGTGATACTGAAATCTTTTCAAAATCAGCTGCCGTTTGAGATGAGCACAAATGTCAGAACATGGCTCACTTTGAACTAAGCAACTTGTTGCTGAGCCATCAGGTTCAAGACCTCAAAAAGCACAAAAAGGCACACACTTTGAAAGGAAGATTTACAATATTTTAGGTGGGAACTGTCTTAATGGACTTTATATAAAAAGTTAAAAGTACACACTAGGTCTGTAAGCATCTGAACAGCACAAGGATAAAGACCCCAAGGAAAGTGCTCTCCCAAATCTGGGGCAAACAGCCCCGACCCCTATAGATATCTGCATAATCACATAGACAGAATGCTGCCTGTTATGGCTAAGTCCTGCAAGGAGAAGGAAGAGAAGAGGAAGGCTCCCACTCACCTGCAGTCCTGCCTGGGCTTAGGGATGTAGCCCGGGTAGGCTCCCTCTGTGATCAGCTTGCACATCCTGCTGTCGCGGTCGGACGGGAGCAGAGTGCTGGGCTTCACCAGCAGCCCAAGGCAGTGGTCAAATGTGTTCCGCTCTTCTGGCCCATCCTCCGTAAAAAAACAATGGCCCAGAGCATCATAACCCACCACGTCCTTCACCTGCATGGACAAAGCAAAGGTCAGTGTTAAGGTTTCATGCTTCAGCCACTGCACAATTAGAACAACCTTCAGTGTGGTGGCACAAAGGAGCCTCAGTTCCCTTTTGAACTCAGGATCTATAACCAAAACCAAAAGCAAGATTCCTCGCAGCCCTTAAGAGCTTATAGTCAAAGCAATAACTCTAGCACTTAATTAGAGTTTGTCATCACCTAAGAAATGCTCATTCCGTTCTTTTGTTTGTCTGAGAAATCAGAGACTGACTTAGCATGAGGCTGGAAAAAACACAGGGTGGGGGATGAGGAGAGGAATTAGACATTCAAATCACATCTGGGCTCATTCATCTTCATGTGGAGTTACATGAGCAGCTTCATAAAATGCAACTCAAAAATGCAGCTGAGATGAAAAAATATTTTTCCAGGCTATCAGAGAGGCAGAAATTTGTTTTCCAGACAGGCTGGCTTGTTTTAGGTTTAACCTGATCTTTTTCTTCAAGTTGTTGACAGAAGCTTTGCTTGACCCTGAGACAAATCAGCTGGTGTTAATCAATGATGTTCTGGTTTTGTGTTGGATGTTGGTAACATCGGGACACCATTGGTTGGACAGAACAACATCCCTCACACCACTGGAAGATCTGAGAGCAGGAATATGAGTTTGAAGCCTAAGGATGGGATAAGATGGGAAGCAACAGCCCTTGGACAGCAGCAAGTGTGTCCAGCAAGTCAGTTGTCAGTGGGTATATCTGGGATATAGAAAATTAATTTCAGGTCTCTTTTAACCAGGGAAAGGTTTGGATGTCCTGGGCTCTTTCCTTGCCACCACTCATCAATCACCTTGGATTTTCACCTTGCAAAAGGTTAACCTGCCACAGAAGGGTTCCTCTAAATGCTTCTGATGAAACAGTAATTGTCAGGGGACAGAGGACAGTATTAACCTGCATAGAAGACCTGTTCATCATGGTGTCACTTAGAGACCAAGTGCATGGGCATTCAAGTGCTTGAATTACTTTTGTAAACAGGCTTGAGATGTCTTTGTCCCCTTCACACCTCATTTCTCAGGCAAGGAGCACCAATTTCAAATAAAATCCCAGTATTAGTGTTGAAATGATTACAAATATGTTTTCACATGAGAACAAACACTTTGCTTGCCAAATCTATTACTGGTTTACAACCACACAGACTTCTATTATGTAGCATCCATGCTCCAGTGTAAATACTTGAATCTCTGAGCACAAATCATCACAGTAAATTAAACACTGCTAAAATGACCTAAAAAATGGTGCATTCCATTAAGCTACCTCACTGAAATTCACTAATGTCTAATAAAATGATAGATTTTGCAAGGTTTAGCCTCCTTTATTTAGATGAAAAGTGTATATACTAAATGGTACCCCCTCAGAAGCCTTGTCTATCCCTAACTATCCCAGCCTTGTTATGATAAAGGTTTACAAGATAGAACACTTCAAGAAAGTGAGCAACATACAGAAGAAGGTTTCCAACATGTAGAGGAAATCTTTTAACCACAGAGATGTCAGAATTCCACAGAAACTGCCACCAAATCCCATTAGCTTTCTCTCACAGGACAGTAACACCAAAAAGACACATAAGCGATGGTGTTGGGACATTTAGGTGATGGAAGCAGTTTCCCTAGAGAAATGTTTGCCACTTCAGCCATGTATCTTTCCAGCTGGCACAATATTGCACCAGGACAGGGACATGGAAACAGTGACCAGCCTCAGCTGGGGCAGAGCAGGGGAGTGCCATCCCAGGGGATCACATCTCCCAGGGCAGTGAGAGAGAACAGGAGCAGGGTGAGACAGGGCTGTGCACTGTCAGAGAGGCTCAGAGCCAGCAAACACCTGCTGTTCTCCTAACTCATCCCTGAAAGCCCACAGAACAGGAGGGAGTTACCAGCCAGGAATCTGGTCCCTTAGGCATCTGCCATCTTCTCTTTGATTAATTATTTCCCCACAAGCCATCTCTCAGTCACCTCTGACTTGCTCCTGTGCCTGTTTTCATGCACAAGGCCACTGCTGAAATGCTTGCATAGAAAATAGATGCTTGTTCCAAAATCACTCTTCTAATGTATTTAATTTTTTCTTTGATTAAAACCTAGCTAATGGTCCATAATCTTACATTAACCATGAGCAATTTAGAGCCAGATAATGCCCTTCCTGTCAAAAAATTGCTGTGAAGTACAGCTGGATTAGTAAAAGCAGATACCACTGAAGCTGCTAGATAGCACAAACTCTTATTCCATGAAGTACAGGCCTCCCCTGGATCCTACCAGATTTACTGAGTCCCATTTAATTTTCTTCCCCAGTGGCTGCTTCTACTTTAGCTTACACACAGGGATCCAATGGAGAGTGGGAATCAGAGCAAAGTTCCATCCCTGGGATTGCAGTGGTGTAACTAGGTGGGGTTTTTTGGTCAATATATTGGGGAAAACATTGGGCAACTATTTCATTTTAAAACAATAATTATGGTGAGAAACGAATTTCTACAGATTTGTTTCCAGAAGGACCCTCTGTGCCTCTCAGCTAATATGAATTTACATGCAAGTGCAGAATAACCCATCAATGAGGTGAGCTAATGTTGAGACAGATACTTCTAGCAGACTGTGCAGACTAACAGAAAAATACCTGTCATCAGAAATAACTGGATACTCTTTTCTCCTAGACTTTTCAGAAACTGCAAGTACCCCTTAAGTGACATGAGAAAAGTGACAGCAAAGCAAACAGGAGAGCCTGTATGTAAATTACCTGCCTGCTTTAATGACAGTAAAAACAACTGATGCCCCTCTCCCATTTATTAAAACATTTGCACAGGTGCTCTACAGCACTCATGCAAGAAGCAGCTCTGAAATCAACAGCTTAATGTTAAGGACATCATTAAGTGCTCTGCTGTGCTGAAGTTTAACAGTCCAGCTAGAATTTTTATGGCTATTTCCAAAGTCTGGTTTGTGCACATCATTAAGGCAATTTTTCCCTTCAGCAAAGTACACTTTGGATCTACCTGATCTCAGAGGGAATGAATGTTACCTGGGGAAAGATAGAGCTCATCTCTGTCTGCATGAATGGTGTTCTTGCATGTAGAAACAGCTGGTGTTGCCCAAGTAAAAAGACAATAGGCAACTGGGAAATGCATATAATAACTACTGTAGTCATCAGAAACCCATGTGGGTGTCTTTGAATATATCTGGGGGAGAAGGAAGAGGAAAGGAAGGAAATCAGAGTGAGAAAGCAGATGAGGAGATTGTGGTGGGATCACCTGATGAATCAAGGCACAGAGTGCTGACTGCAGATGTGTATCAGAGCTACCTAAGCGATGCAACATTTGGAGCATGTTTTGTGTGATGCAACTGAACAAACTTGATCAGATTGCTTTAGTTCACTGAGGCTTTCTTTTCAGCCATCAGCAATAATGATGAGGTTAAAAAAAACAAAACCAGTATAGGTAGTTTCATATTCACACATTTTAATAAACTAAAATCAAGAGGGGTTTTATTGACTAATGTCCTAAATGACAAGATTTCTCTTGGGTGCCTTGTCATTGAGGCAAAGTATGATCATTTAGAGAATTGTGGTTGTTCAATAATAGCAAGAGAATTAAGTTGCTTTCATCAGCTATGTCAGCCTGTCTAAATTTCTCTTTGCCACTTCAGCTGGAAAAGCTTGAGCACATGGATTCCTATGCCATGGATCCCTTATGGCACAGTTGTTGCCCAGAGAAAGCACAAGAGACAAAACTATTTCCAAATTCTCTGCATGAACCCATCCATCTGACTGATAAGAAAAAGTGCCAGGCTCTGGGTATTTGGTTTGGCACCAGGGAATGAAGATCTCACATTAGACCCAGAAGCAGCTGCAGCTCATCAGCAGCTGTGCAGCCTCTGTGCAGCCAGAGGATGTGCTGATGGTGCCATTGGTGACAGTCATCAGTGTGACAAATGGAACCTGCAATGCCACCCTGCACATCAATTCTGTACTAAGCCCCTCTACTGGCAGCTTCAGATTGGGCAAATGCCACATGGCCCTGAACAACTTATATAATTTATACAGTAAAATGTCTCTTTATTTCAGAAGCCATGTTCATTTAGTAGGTTTTCAAGATCGTGTTATAAATTTAGAAGGACAGAGGTCAAACCCAAAACCTCAGATTCATAAATAGCAGATAAAAGCTGCTCTGCTTCTGGAACTGCACTTTAAGTGCCCTTTGTTCAACTTCTGTGCATTTTAATTATGCCTGGGACTCTCCCTTCCAGTGCTGGCACTTCTAGAGGTATGAACTCCTAATGCACAGTGATCATCCAGGTTACAACTGCCAATTATGTTTCCACTTAAAATTCTATTATATTTAGCAGCAGGGTTCTTGACAGTACAAATTGTCCTCTTCAGGGCTTGGATATACTTTTTTCTTTTGTAATACACCTCAATTTCACTAAAAGGGAAAGAGTCCTTTGCCTAGAAAAAATCCTGCCCCTTTAAGATTTGCTTCTTGAAGATCATCCAGTCCCCCTGAATTCTTCTGCCCTTCAAGACCTGCCTCTCAAGGGACTCTGTCAACCAGGTTCCCAAACAGGGCAGCTGTTCTGCTGACCCCCCCCTTACTTCTCCATGAACACAAAACTGTTATAATTTTGTGGTCACTATGCCCAAGACAGCCTCTAACCATCACATAACCCACAAGTCATTTTGTGTTCACAAACAACAGGTCCAGCATCCTTACCCCAAAAACAAAGGCACCCCCAGATCTGGGGAGAATCTGAACGTGTTCTTGACATCTCTGGTGTGCTGTAACTTGTCTGGTAAACATCAGTCATTCTAGAGATTTATCCTAAAGGATTTCTTGTTATGGAGTACTCGAGCAAATCACAGCTCTGTGAGTCCTTAATGTTAGGACTGGCACTGCAAGGCCAAACCTTTATTACAGGAAAGATGAGGCACACTTAAAGCTTCTGATTATCCTCTTTAAATAGCAAACTCTGTGTCTACAGAAAGATCCAACCAGTCATTAGGGATGGGCTGGTCTGCAGACACTGCAGTACCCAGAAAATTGCTCTGCCTACTCTGAGTCACACACAGCCCCTGGTGCCACCCTGGCAGGTTGAGATATCCTTGTATATCCAGGGTAGGAAGAGTCAGGCATTGGCCTTAACAATAAAACACATCTTTCTGCAACAATTAAGGTGTATTCATGCCGTGAGGGAGTGTTTTTCCTGCTGTCTTCATCTCTAAGGAAGACACTGGAACTTCTTACCAGTAAACCGTTGGAACCATGGACTGTGACGCAGCGGGAGAAGGTGTTGTGGATGGAGGTGTCCTTCACATACGTAGGAGGGTTGTAGCCTCCTTTCTCATCCACATCTCCAGCCATATGGAAATGAATTGGGTAATGCCCCATTGTCTGCTGGCCCATGTATTTCAGTTCCAGACCTTCAATGTGGGTAGCCTTGAAATCGAGACCAATCTGGAGAACAAAAGAACAGCAGTCAAGAAACACAAAAGTCTGCTGAGGGCAAGGAGAGGGAACACAGGCATAGGAAGGGCTGCATTGTATCTGCTGAAGGATTTACTGTGTGGAGGGGAGTGTGTGGCTGCAGGGTGAGAGAGAGAGGGCCATGGTGGCTAAGGAGACCAGAGCTGCTTTTTGATTTCCCCACTGCTGCCATAGACACATTTAACTTAATTGTAGAAGAAAAGCAATTTATATTTATAATGTTCCATGGGTTTCAATCAGCTGGGTTCAAAACTAACTTCCCAGGCTGAGCACGACCAAAATCTAGGGAAAATTGGGATTGGGATGTGGAAACTTTATCTCAGGTGTATTGATCACCAGCCCCAGTGTCTGCAGGGGCATGAGGTGCACTTCAAAGCCGAAGGACAGGCAGCAGCTGGGTGGATCTGCTGTACTGTGGGAAGAGGTTGTTTGCTCAATGGCTGATGAGGAATTTTTCCCCTTCCTGCAAAATCTTGGCTTCCCTGCTACGTGCAGGTGTGGCTGGAAGGAGGAAAGGACAAGCAAAGGGCTCCAGCCTCACCTTGATGTGTCCCCCAAAGGTGTCGAAATCAAAGAAGGAGCACAACTTGCTGCTGTACTCGTAGCACTGCTGCTCCATCTCGCCCATCACCACGACGTTGTGGCTCAGCAGCCCCACCTCCGCCCGCATGTCGACGCCGTCGACGACCTCGCCGACGTGCAGGTACGTGGCCTTCCCTAAAGGAACCAGATCCAGGTTCAGGGTTACTCTGCCAATGCTGCTGGCTTCCCGTGCGCTTCCTGTGGTGAGGCTGGCGTGCTAATGAAAGGAGCAACCGAGTCAGCACAAACTGTTGGCTGACACCTCAAAGAGGGAAGGCTGGAGCACAGGTGACGCCCAAGGGCTTGGTGAGATATTTGCAATGGAGGAAGTGGGATTTTTGGTCTTAGGTTCCTTCATTTTTCCAGGGAGTTTTGTCTGTTAGACAAAACACATTTCCCACCTTGATACTGAACTGCGTACTTTGGATTTCAAGTGCCTGTGTATGAACACTCAATGCAAAAAAACCCTGATGGTGCACCTACTGAAAAGTCTAAATCACCAAGGTTAGCACAGCATTTCCCATAGTAAGACACAAGGAGCTGCTCAGACCCCACAGCACTACTCTTGAGCAAGCATCAGCCAGATCCTGCTAACACCGTGGCTGTTGATGCAAGTAGGGAGCAGAGTGGGCAGAAAGCCTCATAGGAATTGTGGCTTGGGACAATCACAGCCCCTCACCAAGTCTGTGGGCTGTAAAACCTCTGCCTTCCTGGCCTCCCAAACCTCTCCATTTTAGATCTACCCTCACATCTCCAACTTGCTCCCAAGGCTTCTTCCTGCCCTCGTGCAGTCGGAGTCAAGGTGATCTTCCATCTACCCCATGCCACACCTCTCTTTGCCAAGCCAATTTGCTCATAACAGCTTCCACACACACCCTCCTCCAAGGAGGGGTTAAAAGCACAGAAAACTTTCCCTCACCTGACCAGAAAGGGGGGAAGTCTGGGCAGTGGGGATGTCTAGAAAGCAAAGTATCTCTTTGTTGTAATTTCATTCAAACATATTCCTACTGCCTCCTTCCTTCCGCAGGTTTTTGCAGAGAAAAGTCAGTTGGGAAAAAGTTCATCTTACTGACTCCATTCTGTATTATTCCAGTAAAAATAAGCAATAAACTCTTTAAGTAAACACTGAGCTTTAAGGAATGCTACACTTGCATGTATTTAATTTCCATTGAATCGTTCAAATCCTTAATTAGAAACAAATGGCAAGCCTGAAGTCTGGCTATTGCTGCAAAGCACTTTATGCTTAAGCAGAAGTGCCAAGTCAAGGGGAGGATTTTGAACAGTGAAACAATATTATTTTTAACCAAAACATGATGTTATGAGTGTATAAAAAAGATAAGCAAACACCATTCACTCCCTCTTCTCCTGAAGCTGGAAGCAGTTTGATGGCAATACAGGGGTTTGGGAAGGGTGAGTGCTCTGCCCTGCTCCCCACTGCTGTGCAGAGGGACAGGGTTCACACCATAACATGTGCCTCTTCCTGTGCACCTCTCCCTTCAAAATCATCTGATCTTGTGAAAAACACTCTCTGTCAACAGAAGTGGTGATGGCCAAAGAGCTGCATGCTCATCTCAGAAATGGAGGGCTGCAAGGGACTCTGGATTTGTACCTCACTCACTTTTTCAACTGCCTCCCTAGAAACTCCTGGACTTCCCCTTGCCCCTGTTGCTGCCCTGCAGCCAGTGAGCCTCATCAGGTGTGTGGCCAAAACCAGACTCAACCCATCCAAAAAACAGTAGCTTTGCTTCCTTTATTCATCTACATGAAAAAAGCCACTGCAGTGAGTACCCTCCACATGAGGACACCCCATGCTGGAGCCTTGGGTGAGTCTGCAAAGGAGCACAGTTTCTCCTTATGGAACCTTTTTTAAGCTGTTATTTTTTAGTTTTCCCCAGAGCTGACCTCTCCTTGATTTACTGAAATGCAGGAAGGATTTTAGATAATCATAAGAACATACTATTTGAAGCCACATCTCCAGGATTTGTGGCAGTGAAATTAGATAGGCAGTTTTGTTATTCCTGTGCTGAGCTCTAGAATAATAAATGTCATGCTTGCATGTATTTAATTTAATTTAACACCAGTCCAGACATGCAAAACAGGGTAAGCACTGACAGGAATGTTAAATACGGACTAACCAGTTTCTAAATATAACTTCTTGGGTGCATGTTTTTCACTCTCTGCTTTTGCTGATTTGACATGTTTGGAGATAAAAGGAGAGACGGAAAGCAATCCCCTTCCAAAGTAAAAGCGGATTTTGAATAATAGCTCCTTTAATAGAGTTTTGAAAAACAAACCACTTCTCAAGGCAGACAGAAATTCAAGCTCCCAGCAGCAACAGGGCTGAAAGAAGCCTTTGGGAGACAAAGTCTGGCATGGGAGCCCTTGTGTGCTGTAAATGACTGCTAAGAACCAGCACTAGAATATTGGGCACTTCCCATGGGACCTGGAGCACTGTGAGGGGCATTTGCAGACACGTGGCACTGCCAGGGAGCTGCCTGGGGCATGTTTGGTGGTGGGCAGGGAAAAACCACAAGAGTCTGCTCTGTGGTGAGTTCAGGGAGCTCACACGAGGATGGCAGCCTCTCACTCTGCAGAGCTACAAGTTTGAAGTTTGGCTGCTGCTCACAGCTGGCACATGGAGCCCTCCCAGAGACCAGCCAGGATATCTGAGACCTTGAGCACTGACCTTGAGCACTGACCATGGGCAAACCCCAGCCAGGGGTTTGCAAATGGGCACTGAAGTGGTTTGATACTAAAAAGGCAACCCTGAGCTTTGAAAGTGGGAGGAATGTGTTGCTGCTTCAGCATCAAAGGCAGTGCTGTGATTTCCCAACCACTGACAAGCCCTGAGGCCACTGATTCACCTTCTCCTCCTTTGGGTGAGGGTTTGCTGCATCCCTCATGGATAGAGACTGCCCTGCCAGCCTTGTGCCATATTGTAATCTAAAGCAAACACAGCCTTGCAGTGACACGGATCACATCTCCCCACAACAGACCCATAGGAAAAGCTCCCTGGCTTTGCTGCTGCATGTGTCATAGCACTGCCTCCAGCTAGCTCAGCGTAAATTTACAGAGGAAACTTCCTTAATATGTGGGCTTGCCTGGTGGAAGTCTTGATTCAGCAAAATATGAGCTTATTCATTATAGATTTCCATGCTTATTACTCAAGGCAGTGACTGTTGAAGTCAGTTGTTGGTAAGGATAAGGTAATTATTAAAAGGAAATATAGATTAAAATAAACATAGATGATCTGCTCATTAAGGGTATGCTTCTGTCAACAAAGCGATTCAAAAGAGAGTTTCTCCAAATAGTACAAAGGAAAACCTGCCACATGTGAACCCAGCCATAAAACCTGGGTCTTGGGCCTTATCAAACCTGGAAAGGGTGGATTTTAAAACTATTTCAACTGCTGCAAATGTGGAAGACTGCTCAGATCTGGTGAGTTAGATCTCTCAGAAAACCCTCCCAGGTACACTCATGCATTCCTAAATCCCTTGGCTCTAAATGGCCCAAACTGCTAAATCTCCCTTTGAGAAGTGAATCCAGCACTTGAAGGTCTGGATTTGGTGAAGATAAAGAAAAGCTGAGATTCTCCTGGAGGGTTTTTTTTTTTCCTAAAGTGTCTTTTGTTCTCCTTTGAGCTCTCTAGGGATAAGACCCAGTATCTCATGGTCTTTTGATGTTTCCCAGTCAAGCTTTTAAGGGAATTGCTAAACACAATTTGTCCAACCCACATCATCCAATGACAGTGAATCCTTCATGGCATCTTTAAAGTCAGTTCAACTCATTGCAGATGCCAGCCCAGATCTGACAGATTTACCACTTTTGCCAAGCACTTGTCATCACTGGTGGTAATGCCCCTATTGCTTATATTTAATAACAAACAAATGTTCACACTGGCATCTTTCAAATCCTCATTATTCTGAATTGTCTTGCTGGGGTTTGCTGTTGTATCCTTAAACCACAGGCCTGTAACTCAGCATGGTTTGGGTGAGCTGGCTGGTCCTTGAGTCACACAGTACAACCTGATGTCCTAATCAACAAATACTCCTCCATTTCATAACTTTACATGGAAAATTATGTTTTCAGCAAATAGGCATGCAGCAATCAGGTAAAAACTCTACCCACATGAACTTCTATGTAAACCTGAATGAGATTCTGTCAGCTCAACTCCCAGGCAATGCCCCAAGGTCGAAGGAGCTCTGAAAGGCTGGTAGAAAGGACCTGCCCTGCCCTCAAGCACAAGGGTTGCCTTAAAAAAAGAGCTTTTGGCAAGTTCCATCCAAAATGATGCCAACTTCTAAACAGAACACTCTAAATCTCTAAAAATATCTGAATTTTGATAGTGAAGTAAATTCTCCCATCCTTACAGCACCAGATAAATGCTGACACAGGCTGTGAATTTGTGAGACAACTGTGTATTTATACTTTTAATTCAAAGTTCTCTGCATGAACAAGATCACAGTAAACTCCTTATCTCTCTAACATTTGCAACCCAATAAGCAGGATTTAAGAGATGCATGCTTGAATTCATAGGTTCACCAGTATGTGGGATAATTGGAGTAATTATGCCAGGCATGAACAGTTTTTTCATCCTTTATCAAGAGCATATAGGAGCACAAAAGAACACTTCATCATTTCTGTTCCATGGTGAAACTTATCAGCATTAGTAGAAACTTCATACAGAGCAACCAAGATGAAGATAAGACTTGTTTCCCAGAGAAACTAGACAAAATACTTGATCCTTCCTACGATCCAGTTCTATCATAACAACACAACCCTTCCTTCCTTCCTCCCTCCCTCCTCCCTCCCTTTGCCCTGCACTGTTGTGCCTCCCCAAACCTTGTGAAGTTGGAAGATCAAACAGTTTTAATCTGTTCCCACAGTGAAAATAATCTAGGCACAAAAAATTACAAGCAAAAAACCCAAAAAATAATTAAACAAAAAAAACAAGTGGAGGGAAAAGTTCCATCTAAGTGAGTGACCATTTGAGCAGGACCTGCAGATCTGGGTCCTCATGCAAACCACTTACCCATGGGAGCCACAGTTTGTACATTGCAGCAGTTATTCCAGTAAAAAGTGCAAAAGACCAGAGCCCTCTTTCACTTTCTGCACTGAGATTTGCAGATGTCCATAGTTAAATAACTAAATCCTCCTAGAACCTGATGGCAGTTGAGTATTAACTCCCTTAAATTCTTTTGAAAGCTCTAATCAATCCATTTCTAGCCAGTAAAGAAAGTATGAGTTTCAGCAGGAAGTATCAAATATAAATAGGACATGAGCTAACTAATGAGTTTGACTTTTTTGGCACAATATGCTAAACCATGTCTATTAAAATACTATTAAATTATGAGAGCATAAATTATACTAAACCTTGGTATGCCAAGTGGCTGCCACACTAAACTGGCTGTCCACAAAGCAGAGGATAGCCAGTTTTCTGCCTTTTTTATACCATAGAGACTCTTAAGTAGTTCAGATCTGACATTTAGGTTTCATTTTAAAAGCAAATAGAAAGGAAAAAAATAAAGATTAAAAGGGAAATAAATCATCATGGGTAGGAATGGTTTTATCATTTGTCTTTCAAAGGGCAAACTTCTGGATTTCTCAGATGCTAAACTAAACCTCTTAGGAAAATTAAGCCTTTTCACTTATTACAAATGACAACCCTCTGAGATCCTGTGTATAAATATATGTGTGGAAAGCTTTTCTCAGAAGGAGCAAAGCAATCTTGCCTACCTTCATAGCAAAAGGCGTTTATGATTAATGTTCTTCTACACCCAGTTGCAAGCCTGGCCCAGGCACACAAGGCCAGGCTGTGCCAGGGCTGCCCACCTGTGCTAAGGCCAGGGGCCATTAGTGATCCTTATTCTGCTAATTAGATGTCATGGCACAGGGCAGTGGATGAAGTTGCACCATGGCCAGGCACAGAGCAGCTCAGGGACCTCCTGGCCCCTAAAGGCAGAGGACATTTCAGCCTTGCCAGGTTTTAGTTCATCTAGACTGAACTTAGATTCAGGCAGATTATTTTGTTTTCTCGTGCGAATGTGTTTTTGTTACAAGAAAGTTGGAAGTGATTTTTATAATTGGACTAAATTTTGCCTTGATTTATAAATCAGTGAAATCCCATTGACGTCAACAGAGTTGCCTGGATATAAGAGAGGAGAGGCTTTGGCCCTGGTATTCATGTCATTTGTGGTAATAAAAGGAATGTCCTAATTCTGCTAAAGAGAAATTGGAGACCAAGAGCACAATTACTTTAACAAGTGTTTCCACTGCTTCTTTACTTGAAATTCACATGAAATTTTTTGTTGTTTTTTACCCATTGTTTCCTTAAACTAACCTAGCTGTCACTGTTGCAGAAGATGAATGTAAATACATGAATTCCACAGGTCCATCAGATTATGGGAAGCCCAAGACTCCTACACCATCTTTATTTTTACTGGTGATCTTCCAAGACCATCTTCATGATGTGACTTGTATCATACCAGTCTGAGTCCAACAGCTCAAAAGTTGCTCAAGAAAAATATTCAGCTTGGAAATGCATCTTCTTTGAAAGCACTAGACATTTGAAGTCATAAGACTATGATACATTCAGACTGTGAATAACATATTCCTTGGCCTAATGCACATCTCCAACAATGAATGGCCAGAGCTCTGTGGGGAGGCAGCTGCCAGAGGAAGTGTATTGGTACCTTCCAAAAGAAGTTGCATCAGAGATAATGTTGAAGTGGCTCATTTCAGAGAACCAAGTGAACTCCCTGGTGCATTGGATGTTCCAAGTGTCCTCTTGGTTTCTCAGAAAGGTCTTACTGTAAATGCAGACAAGACCTCTGCCTAGAGCAACAGCCAGCAAAGATAAAATCACATTCATGATTTACCACCAGGCAGATGCTGCCTCTGAAAGACAGCCTCATCTACTACAGACTTTTACACTGTAAAATAATGTTTGCTTTTGTAAATTGTTGAAGCAAAATAATCCTCATCTATTCAGATAAAGGGAAGTTCATGTGCTATTTCCATGCTCTGCTTATCAGTGTGGCAAAACAAGAGTCTAGAAGGGAAAGACAATTTCACAGACTCAAGTGAAGATTAAATCTTCCACTCTGGATTTCAGTTTTATGCTCACGCTGGTAATAGTCTGTGCTTCATCATGGTTATGCTTTTTAATTGGATTCCATTTCCAGAGGCCATTCTACAATAATGGGACTACAAAATCTATTAATCAAAAGCAATTTGTTTTGCATTTGAGCTGGTCACCTACAAGAGAAAAATGCTGGGGCTCTACAAAGGCTCCCACTCCTCCTTCTCAGGCTGGCTCTGGCAGCACCCTGCCACTCCATCTCCCCAGTGCAGAGGCTCATGACAACTCACTGGCAGACAGAAATGTTTGGTTAATACATCACCTCTAAGCAATACTCTCTGGAGACAAAGTAAATGGGAAACAGTAGCTTCAGTAGTACAAAACAGTATTTCCAAAATGTAAGATTACAGTTCTTGTTAAATAAAATTTAGGAAAGCAGCCAGCTGGAAATTACTTCATAGCCTTACAGTGTCTCACAGTCTGCTCCTGCCCTAGCTCACTCTTCCCATCATCTGTGCTCATCTACTTTCTAGGAAGTGGTATTTCAAATGCAGTTATTGGAAATCTCAAATACATAACCTGTATGTGTTCCTCTTAAGTAAATTCACCCACTCAATAGCGTGTTTGGGAACAAAAATGGAGTCAGCTATGAAAAGAGAAGGCAGAAAGGAACCAAAATCATGTTAGATTGTTTTCAAACATGGAAGTTATGTATCCCAGAACCATCTAACAACCAGACATCAAATTCAGGTGTCTTTCAACATTTTTCAGTTCTTCTTGGAGTCATCTCAGTGCAAATGTCAGAATTTGTGAACTGCAACGCCAGACTGGTAAGATGAAGCACCTCACCTGCTACCTTGACCTGGGTGGGTCTGCAGGTTCTGCAGGGCAGCACTTGGAACTCTTCTGCCTGGTACATGGAGTAGTCAGTGCTCGCCACCACCAGCCTGTCCCCAGGGCTCCACGAGCTCACGTCATCCACCAGGTTCAGGATCGTGCTGTTCACGTTGGTGTCAACGGTTACCGTGAGCTTCGGTTTCACTGAAAACCCAAAATGCAAGGGTGGGGAATTCAGTCAATCTTATCAGAAAAAGTTTGCCCCTTCTTTTTTCTCTCCCCACCACCCCTTCCTTGGAGCACCACCAAAAATTATTATTTTCTCATGTTGAAAGAAAAAAAAGTTAACTCCTTCAAACATGTTTTTTTACCGGCTTTCGCTCGGCAAGCAAGAAAACAGGAAAGTATTTTTCTTTAGTTGCAGGCAGGTGGATTTTCCACTAACCCCAGGATAAATTTAAATGCAGCTCTTAGTGGCTCATTCTCACCACACCCACTTAGCAGCAGCTCTTGTGGGCGTAGGGTGCTGTTGTTTACAGCAGCCAAGGGGTCTTTAACCTAGTGATGTTTTTTTCCAGCAAAACACCAGTCTGCCACCCTTCTCTTCCTGTCAGCACCAAAAATCCTAATGACCTGTCTAATGACCAGGGTAAGGACAGCAGTGTTGGAATGATTAACTACAAAATGACAGTTTCAAACCCTGTTGTCTTCACACTTTCTGATTGACTAATCCTACGTCACCCCAAAATGTTTTTGCAAAAGACAAGGAATTTACAGGAAAGAACTTGCCAAGTATTTCTCACAGCCTTGCTGGGTATTTGAAAAACCACCCTGCTGCTTCTGTTGGTGCTCAGGAATTTTTCCTGAGATAAATCTTCACCCATTCTATCTGAGTTTGTGTCCATAGCCCAGCCCAAAGCTTTAGCTTGGAAAAATTACAGAAGTTGATCTGACACCAAGGAGGAGCCAGTCATGAGAAGACAGGATTTCTGCTGTTCTCTGTTCTGGCTTTCAGTGATGGGGCACATACCAGATTTGCCACACAGGAACCTCACTCGGTAGTTGTGGCAGCCCTCGCCCGTCTGGTCCTTGCCGTGGCACAGGAATTGGTAATCGTGGCCGCCCTTGTAGAAAACCTCAGTGCTTAAATCCGCTCCATCAAGCGTCCTTGCCTGGAACAAGGATGGAAATACAACTCAGGTTTTGCTGTGAGGAGAAGGGATTTCACCAAAACATCTGAGCCATCAGAAGAGGCCTTGTTTTGTTTTGGGTGATGGCACAAGCACTGCCTACCAAACCCCTGTGACTGCTCTCCAGCCAGCGCTCCCAGCTGCAGCTCTCACACAGCCACTGCTTAGGTGCACGCCTTTTCCTGTGCCTGTCCTGAGACCATGGGCTCTTTTGGGAGGAGTTTGTGAGCTTCACAAACAGCTGCCTTGGTGCCCTAGATTTCCTCTTGCCATTGGTTTGAGGGCAGATGGAAACGTTGAGCACAGATGCTTGCACCCAGATGACCTCATGCCTTCAAACCTCTGCGCTGCATTCATTCCATTGCTTGTGGGTAGGCTCTGTCTGAACCTTGCAGAAGAAAGGGGCTAGGGGTTTTATTTCTCCATTGCATGGGTCAGTCTGTCAAAAAAACCCCAAATGTACTGCAACACTGCTGCCTGTTCCAAAAGAAACAAGGAGAAAGTGGCTTTTTCTCACAAGCAAGTACCAGCCTGTAGAGCTGCTTGAGAAAAAAGGCTGCATCATGCCAAGAAGCAGTGAGATACGTAACCTCTCTGGTGCTCCTGCTGGGGCAACATCTCAGGCTCGTGTCAAATTTCACATTCTGTCTCTAGAGCTTGCATTTCTCTCGACCCTTTCACAAAAATGTGGTGCATTGCATCGGGCAATCCAAATACCATGTGCATTTTGGCAGGGCACCAGGAGAAAAGCCATCTTTCAATGATTCTCTCACTCATGCAGGCTTTCCTTATTGATGAATCCACCCTGCTGCCGTGTGTGGGATTAGCACTGTCAGCTGGAGGAATGTGCCTCTGGCTGTGCTGTTCTGCTGTTATTATCATCATATCTTCAATTTTCTCCCATGTTCCAGATCTGGGGCAGGCCAGCTGCTATAAATCAGTGTAGCTTTATAAAAGCAATGAGCAGCACCAGATTACACTACCTAAGGATTTGCCTTAAGATCTGCAGGATAAACTGAAAAATGTCTCACTTTTAATATACATGGGGGGAAAAAACTAACTTATTTTACAGAAAAGGAAAATAAATGTTTGTTTCTAGACCAGAATGTCTCTCTTCTTTGTTTTAAGACACATTCTAGAAGGAGATGGGAGATGTAAGAAACATCTGACCCCTGTTCTGAACTAAGTTGTCACTTCTAATACACGTATATAGAAGCAGAAATGAATGTGGATTTGGTAAGACCTGGCAGAAAATTATAGGACAGTTCTTTCCTTTCTGTTCAAGAGAGATTCTTTATAACATCTAGCCCTGGAAACTTTCACTCATAGAGTCAGCATTCCCATTTACTTCAAGAGCCACATTCTTGTGAATATGAGCAACTCCACTGGCTCAGAGCACACAGGAACCTTAGGCTCAGCCTCACACAGATGTGAAGGATTGTATTCTTTTTCTAGGCAATGCTTCTGCTGCAGTATTTTTACCAGGTAGACATAAAACATATATAGTAAACATATACAAAAGAAATATCCTCATTTTTTATGGGTTTTTTTTGTCCTTAAAGAGGTTTTTTGCAGTGTCAGAAAAGGTATCTGAGTGCTCCTCAGCATTCTGGCCTGATGGCATAATTATAATGCTTAGCTCCAAACAGAATTCAAATTTCTTTTCAGAGATAAAATAATTGATTCCAAGAAATGGCTGAAAGCTCACCAATATTTTTGACAACCTGCTACAGCTGGTAGTTGCCCTGTCTTGTTACACTTTGTGATTAATTTTTTAGGTAGGGTCTATTCCAGGACCATTAAAAACCTTTGAAATTTTCATGTGCTTGCTCCTTTTAATCTTCCAGCAGGGAACCACATATTTCATGCTAGCATCTGTGCTGTCCATGACCCATCTGTACACCTTTTCATGCCAGGAGCCAGAATTTACTGAAAGGAGTTCAAGTCTATCAAATTTGCCTCAGAACAATAGGAGTCTGTAGACAAAATCTTGTTGGTTATGTATTGGAGTGGTAAAATAATTGGTGTGTTTTATTTAGAAACAAAAATTACTGATAAACACAATTATTTTGGGGGTTCAGTGTCAGTACAAAGGAGACTTGGCCCTCTAAAGCATGTGGTAAGCCTACCTGGATGTCAATGGGCTGCCTGCAGATCTTGTCAGGATGAGCAGCTTTGAAGTCAGACAGCTTCTCCATATCCTTAGATCTCGCTTTGTCAGGCTTCTCAAACCACTCTGTCCATTCTACATCTGGAGACAAGTGCAAACAAGTACAGGCATTTGAAAGTCAAGCTTAATGAGTGCAGCAAAAATGCACGATGCATAATATGATCTCGGCTATCATTCACAAGTTTCTTCACTGATGATCTGATTCATGCCTCTTCCTGCCAGTCTGTCAGCCACTTTTAATGATGCTGTGAAGTGCAACCAGCCAAGGGAGAGCAGAGTTATTAAAAGCTTCATAATTGGCATGTGCACTGCAAGCATTATTAATAGATACAGATTTTTGGATCTGTGTCTGCCTTAGCTGCCTTCTCTGATCTTCAGATCAAGTTGCACCAGCTACTGTGTGTTGTCTGAGACATGGACATGATGACTGTGCAGTGAAAACAAGAGGTTGTGTGTGATCTCTGAGACCACAGGAGATGGAATTTCATACCCAGTGCAGAAAAGGAAAAAGGATCCCAGTTATTCAGAGGGTCCTAGAGACAACTGGGGAAAGAATCCAGTGTTCATTAATTGGTTTAGTGATAACATAAATAGCAGTTAGCAAGTCCACTCTTCCCAAATGGAAAAGGATTTCAGGAAAGAGGATGATTCACCCTATTTGTCAGCTGTCTAGCACTGAGTGAAATAGCCCACAGACCCCTCACCTTGAACCCACTCGCTCGTTGAAGAGACGTTAAAATGTTCTCCATTCTCAGCTTTGAATAGTTTGAATACTTTGGCCACAGCTGACCCTCTGTGACCTGTTAAAAACCCAAAACATTGGTCAAATAATTGAAAACAATTGGAAAAATCATTTAATGTAATTGATAAGAGTAAGAACTGAAAGGAATTGTCTCTCTGCATATTTGAATACTTTGACTATATTATTCAAAATTAGCCCTGCACAACTTTCAGAAAAATGTACTGATCTTGCAGTGAGGCTTCAGACACTTTTGCAATTGTGTGGATAATGAGGAAGAGTAACTTTCAAAAATCAAGAAAGGATAAAGCCCACAATTGCTTGTCATACATTGCTATTTTTATTTAATGTTGTAGCAAGCTGTGTTATTCATGTCATGAGAAGACAGAGACTCAACAGTGTTCAGCTTGCAAGAAAATGGTTTCACAGGAGGACTTGAGGCTATTGATTCAGGATACACTGATTAAATTTCAGAACTGGGTCTGTTCCACAGATTTGTGTCTTAAGAGAGGCAGTGTCTGAGCTCAGTGGAATTTCATGGATTTACACTGGTGCAGGATCTCGCCTTTTATCTAAAGGTTTGGTTAGCCAAAACTGTCCCTCACTCAGCTGCTTCAGATGCATTATTGGGAAGAAGCAATATATAAGGAGAGCATTCAATTAAATGTGTCAAACCACCAATTGCTTATGGCTTCAATGTAATGTAGTGGGAAGTAAAAACACCATTGACCAAATTCATCTCAGCTATAACTCCAGGAACTTCCAGAAATCACATCTAGACAGCATTTTGTACATTAAATACCTTGATATTCAATGTGGTCTTCAACAGAAGAGGAGGGATTTCCTTTAATGGTAATAAAACTCCATGGGTGCCTGGAAAATGAAAGTGAGAAATGATCAAGTAATGTCAAGTATGAGATACATATTTCTTAGAGCCTAATGTTCCTAAATTTCTCAGAGGCACCACATCAACACAGTCTCATTAGTGTCGCAGGCAGTGTAGTTAAAATTAATATTAGCTTAACAGTCTATATTTCTTCAGTAAATATATCAGAAGAGAAGCAAATTTAAAGACAAATCCCCACTTAAAACATGCCTGTAACAAGTGTGTTTGTTTTTTAAATGAATGTTTGAGGAAACTTGTGTATGACAACCCTAAGAGACACTGGCAACTCCTTGGGGAGCCTGAAAATAAATCCTGTGTGTGTGTGTACATGTGCATACACTAAAGAATATGAAAAGAAACCACTTCTGCTTAAATAAATTTAGCTCATGCTGAAACCTTGTATGTGACAATTGTCTTTGGAATGACCCATGAGAATTTCTAATAGACAGAATGGCTGACAAATGACAGTAAAAATTCTTAGATAGTCTCTGCATATCTAGTTTCCTTATTTGAACATTGGACAAGGATGAAGGTTTACAACCCTGAATTGTCTGTTCAAATCTGATCCCATGTCAGAATTCAGTTCTTTACCATCTGATGGTTATTGGTCAAGTGGGTTCAATAGCTGTCAGCCACCTCGGAGGATGACCACATGGATGAGAAAGCAATGGAGACAAGGACTGAAGTGCCTCCCAGCCTTGGGGGTGAGCCCAATTAGTAGGGGTCATGAGCAATTTTTATCTTCAAAGTAGTAGTTCAAACATATCTGCTCTTAATGAGTAAGAGAATGAAAAATATGCTTTTAGGTGGTAGGGAGACTGTCCTGAATTACCAAAAACTCCCATGGATTAGGTCATGTCTCTATAGTTATAAATATCTGGTCATTTCAATTGCATCAAGAGTCTTGCAGGTCACCTTACATTGGTGCAAGCGAAGTTCCAAACCGCTCTGGTTTGGAACTCCGGAATAAAACACATACAGACATTGAGAGAGAGGCACCAAAACACACCCAAATCACAGGTGCCACGAGCTGGGGTTTGCTGGGATTTGCTGCTCTGGGGGCGCTCAGGGGAGCGCTGGTGCAGCCCTTGCTGTGCCATGGCCCTGGTGGACACAGCTGCTCAAGGGACATGTCCCAGCAGCGTGTCCCCAGCCCCAGCCTCGGTGGGAGCTGCCAGCACCGCTGCCTCGGGAGCTGCCAGCCAGCCAGATGCGCCTGCTGGAAAATTTGCCTGCGTGCCAATTGCCAAAGGCACTGATGGGCTGTGATCTCCATCCAGGGAGGGAAGGGGGATGGGAGCAGGAAGGACACTTTATCACTCAGCAGACAGCATAGATTTTTTTCCTGGGTTTGTTATTATTATTTTAGAAAACCAAATTTGAAACAAATGACAAAAAATTATGATGCCTTAAAAACAATCTCAAAAAAATTTAAAGAATAAGGAGTTATTCACTTCTGCAACTCAAGGTTTGGCCCCATTTCATGTGTTAAAATACTTGTTTCTCCCAGTTATTTTACAACTAAAAATAAAGTCGTTCAACCCTAACACATAAGGACACATGCAATCTGTTTGAGCAATATGAAATGAAGCCACCAGGAAATCCAGAGCCAAGCAGGAGATATTTGTGTGGAATTCCAAAGAGAATAACTATGTCATCAAGTGCAAAAAGGCTTTCTCTTCATTTATTAGTAAAAAGGGGAAAAGATGGCTCACACTGAAAGAGTAAACACACTTTTCAGAAGGAAAACAATAAGAGAGGAATGCAAGATTTTCCTTTCATTCCTAATGTTCTGGACTCAGCAAATAGGCAATTAAAAGAGAATCCAGGAGCACAGAAACATTTCTGAATAAATCAGCATTGTGCATCAGCTCTGCTACAGCAAGGGGGAGTTGCACAACTTTACAATCTGGTTGAATACTGAGCAAGTGGAGATGGACAGGAATTTGCCCATTAACCCCACCAACACCCCCACCAGAAACCAACACAATCTTTGACTGAATTACACTTTTATTCTCTCAGGGCTGCCCATGGCCAGCCCCAGCCATTGTCAGGAGCTGAGAAGATTTGACAGCCAGAATTCAGCAGGAGCAGCCAGCAAACCCCAGTGCTGGGCAGTAAGTGCCGACAGGCGTGTTAGAAAGAAAAATCCATCTGCTCTCCTCAGTCAGGGCCTGCCATGGCCACAGAGGGTAAAATGTGTACACACATTTGTCATTTTCTCATTCGGAACAATTTTTTCTAAGATACTAAAAAAAAATTAATTCCAGAAGCACCTGTCAAGTGCATAGTGCATACATCCATATTCATAGTTATAGGTGTATCTGAAATGTAAACCACTATATCTAAATCTTGTTACACTGAAGTGGAAGTTCAATTTGATTTAGAGGAAAAGCTCGGATACCCCTAAAGCTGCCTGTGTTCCATTGTGCCATCAAACTGCTTTTCTAAGTCTGGCCCCAGCTGTCACCGAGACAATGTGGGTTTTGAGAATTGAGGAACTTAAATTCTGAGAACACTCCTAAAAATATGCAATTTTAAATAATGCACCAGATATTTTTCCACACACCAGTATGCTGGTGGAAGTCAGTGTTCACCAAGTACTACCTCATTATTTATCCACATGTCTCTATAATTCATGGAATGCAATTTTGTGGCATTTCAGATAACAGCATGGCAAGAATTAGCCTTTTGACCACAAATAATAGCAACACTAAAAGTCATACTTCCATGGATGAATTTCTGCAGTATTTCCATTATAAACATTGATGGCAAAACGATGACAAACTTGCATTAAAACACCACAGCAGCCTAAAAAAATCAAGTGCAATTTACTTCTATAAACATATGCAAAAACCATAAATTCCTTCCTGTAGCATCATTGGGGGAAAAAAGTATAATATTCAAAAATCACGTTCTGTTTCCCTAATTCTAGCATTTGAAAAATACACCCAGCAGGCTACTGGGCTGTAATATGGGGTCTAAATTTGAGATCAAGAATTGCACTGATGGAGACAGCCTGGTTTTGGAGACCATTTCTGCCCTCCTTGTTGATTCTTCGAAATGTGTTGTCTGGTGCCCAGGAGCTCCTGTAATGTTTGAAACAACTTCTTCATCAACCACCCCAGCTCTTGCTCCATCTGTGTGTGCCCAGATGACATATGTCTCTTTCCACAAACTACTGCATTGAAACACTTCTCCCTACAAGGCAGATTGTGTGTGTGTGTGTGTGTGTGTGTGTGTATGTGTGTGTGTGTGTGTGTGTGTGTGTGTGTGTGTGTGTGTTCTGCAGACACCCTCTTAGTGCCTCATAAAAAAAAAGCCTACATAAATTCAGATAAACACAAAAAATATAATGGCTACAGTTGGGTAAATAGCAAGTATTCTCAACAGTCTGCGTGCCAACACAGACACTGTTTTGGCCACAGAAGCATTTACAGTCCACACCATAAATCCATGTTTGCTGAATTTCTGTGCTGCACAAGTGCCCAGACCTGTATTGGACAAGCTGAGGAATGTGTGTCTGTATGTATGTGTGTCTGTATGTATGTAGCCAGGGCTACACAGCAATTATTGCGCCCTCCTTAATGCTCAGCCCATCTAATCTTCTGTGTGTGTGTATAAATATGCTATTTAAATCTTTGGGGGATGGCTTGAAAATAAATTGGACTAAGCAACCTGTGGGAACAATATCTTGGAAAACCATCTTTTTTAATGTGAATCATATGCTATTCCTCAATCTGCTAATAAAAATACCTAATATAGACTCTGAGTGCATCTGAAACTATCTAATTAACTGCTAAAACTCCACATTGCGAAGTTTCCCTCTTTTTTTTTTTTTTTTTTTTTTTTTTTTCCCATATGAAAGAACTTTGTGACTTTGAAAGAGTGGAACTATTTGGACATCTCAGGAACATAATAAAGCCTCTGTGCTGGGAGAACTGGCAGGACTGGCACATACCTAAACCCAAGGTGGAGGAAATGCTTGCTGCCCAGTTTGGTCATTGCTTTCCTGGCCAAGTCATCCAAGTTTCTGGATCCTTCATCATTCACTGCGACCGACAGGATCATGCCATTTGCAACTCTACCCAGATACTGAGCCAGGCGGACGCTTTCCTCTTTTGCTCTGTAGGTATCAAACCTGAAATGATCAAAAACACCTGTAAACATTTGCTGCAGCAGTCACCACATCTTTACATACTGAAAAGCAAGTGCTATAAAGAAAGTAGTAGTCATTTGTGTTGTTCACTGTAATATCACCCTGCTGCAAAAGCACTTGTCTAGCAGGGTGTGTTAGGGGGTTCTGTTAAGCCAAATTGAATGAACTCTAGTTGACAAACTGCAAGGTTTGTCTGCTCACTCTGTGGTTTTGGAGATTGCTGGTCTAGGAGGAATTGCACAGACATGCAACTACACCCATTTGAACAAGATGCTGAAATGTGTGTGTTGGAGTTTGCTGAGATGCTGTCCCCAGCCTGTTCCCCAAGATCCTCACATCTAGGCAGTCAGAAGGTCACTCACCGGTCTGAGTGGACAACTGCCCCTGTCTTTGGGTCAATAACGTGGACAATGACACCCCGGTGGCCCCAGCTCCTTTCGAAGTAATATCCACCTTCTTCCATGCCACCAGGATGAAGAGTCTTGTTTAAGAAAGTCCAGGACAGCTTTTTCTTTCCATGGATCTCAAGAGTGCCGCCTTTGCTGACTCCAAGGTACTTCTGTCCAAAGTAAGGATCTGGCTGGCTGCCGTCATCCGCTCTGAAGCAGGAAGGGAGGAAAAGGACCAGGTTTGGGTTTGTATCTGAGTCAAGGAACCTCTCTCCTTGTGCTGCTGAGACTCAAGGAGAGAAGTCTCATGGTTTGCTGTGCATTTATTTCAGGTACTCCAAGCATCAGGAGCTGCCCACATTGTACAGAAAATAAATAAATTTTTTAAATAGTAGCAGCTACCAAAGACCAAAAACAGTCTGGAGCATAGGTTATACATGCTATATTCATTATATCCAGGCCAGAGGAGTCCTGGAGCTCAGACTGAATGGCACATCTGTGTTTTTGAATTCTGGAGGCAAACAAGACCCTAAACAGGAGATAAGCAGTCCAGTGGTTGTTAAATATTAATTTAGCATCCTTGAAATTTTAAGAGATCCTGTACCCATCTTCAAGACAAATGTATTATCCTTCAGCTCACAACTCCCATACAGAAAGAAAGGAGGTTTAGAGAGGAGAACTTTCAGACAAAAATAACTCCTCAGGTTTTAAGCCTATTCCGGAAAATCAGTTTTAGTTCTGGGAAGGTGCATACTGATTCTCTAGCATGCCCGCAGTTTTCATATCCCAATGGAAGAGAAAAATCTCAAACCAGCATCAATTTTTGTGAGCCATTTAAATTGTTTAAAAAGTTACTGAACTTTCCACAGAGCACTGACGATAGGTATACCTGAGAACATGCAATTTTAAGGAACATTTTCATTCCCTGACATTGAAGAGAGATGCCAGAAGGTTCTAAGGGAGTATTTTATCATGCATACCTACCGCCCATATAAGATGATAACCACATTGCCTTGGTAAGGGCACAGCTCACTGCCAATGTGTAGCTCTCCATCATTTTCAATGAGTATGTGTCTTGTACGCAGGATGATGGGCTGCACATCATCTTTGATGACCAGTTTTCCTAAGCAGAGAAAGTTATGACATTTACTTTATCACCCAGCAGCTCATGTGAGTTTGTGGTATCATTGTGCTAAACCCAATGCTGAGCTGTCATCTCAGTTTTTGAAAAATTCTCTTCATACATCCAAAACAGCTCTCAATACAAATCCTGAAAACGTTGGGTTTTGTTCAGTCCAGTTCTTGAAGAGTGCAAATAAGATTTACATGGAAGAGGACCCATTCAAAACTGAGACAGAAATTTAGAGTTAAGCTGAATAAAAGCTATTCATGACAGCAACACTATGGCTCTGTCCTTGGAGACAAAGAGGGGCATAAGCATCTGCCCTGTCCTGAGGCCCTGATAACACAACTACTGCAGTATGATGCTATTAGGCCGGCAGTTTGATTAAAAAAATGTTTTTGAAGCAAATTGCAGAAGTAGAACTGATCATTACACTGAGCTACTTGTGTAAATTCTCCAGACAGGACAGAAAATAGGTTGGTTACAATGGCTGAAGAGTCTCAGGACCTCAGCTACCACCCAGCCTTGTACTGAGGAAAAGCTGTGTTTGCTCAGTTCTCAGTAAGAAGCAAGAAGCTCTCCTAGCATGATCCAGAGTGATTTAAACAGTCCCAGTGGAGAGCAGAGCGCAGCCAGCCTTGCCAGCAGCACGTTTTACCTCCATCAGTGATGTGGATGGAGTGGACAGTGGCAGAAGAAGAGAGGAGCAGCTTCCTGCCGCTGCGGATTTCAACGCGGTTTTCTTCGTTGTGACCTGGGTTCCAGATTTCCAACTCGGGCTCTCTGTCAGGACATGTGACAGCCGCTTCTGCTGGGCAAAGTGGAGAGTGAGAACAATCAGTGTTTGTTTGGAGTGAGACAGGAGCTCTGCACCTGGGCATCTTCACAGTGTCACTCAGCATCAGCCTCTTGGCTGACTCCCTGGAACACAGCAATACCTCGGTGCAGCAGGGTACATGTGGGTCACGACCAAAAGAAAACAAACAACAGCATAAGCTGTGTGGTTTTCTGTTTTCTGGAAGAATGGAAAAACCCAATGCAAAGGAGCCTTGCAGGGGATACAGTTTCTAGAAAACTACTGAAAAGGGACTTTCATTGAGCTCTTCCTGCAGTGACATTTAGCTCTGTTCATACCATCTAGACACAAAGCCCAGAGAAGGTGTTGATAAAAAGATAAAACAACTACTACCTTTAAAAATGCCCCCAAAATACCTGCTTTGTTTAATATAAAGATGTTAAAATATGTATGCATTATATATTTTCACTGGAGACAGAAAGAAAAAGAGATCAAACTAACATGGAAACACCAAGCACCAAGCAATTACCAGTAGCAGAGAGCAACAGGAGCCTCACAAGCGTGTCTGGGTTTGTGAGCTTTTCCAGGCAGAAGCAATAAGGATTCATTCACTTTGGGGTCACACATCTGCAGTCTCCACACACAAATTTTATGATGGGCTGCCATGACGTGTTAGTCTGAACAGCTCTCATACTACATGCAAGAGTCTCATGTTGCAGCTATTTATTTCAGATAAAATATTTCCCTGGTACAACCTCAGTTGATATGTGAGCCTCATGTCTTACTCTAATCAACAAAACTGCGAGTGAGAGTCTCACGTGTGATGCATATTTTCTGAGGGTAAAGCCCTTTCTAATCCTAGGAAGCTGAGGTCAGTGGAAGTTTGAACAATGAGCTCTTTGCCTTCAGAAAGGGCTGGGAGTTCTCACCAGCTTTCCAGTTTTTATCCCTTAAAACAAAAACACCATGGAGAAAAGTACAGGGCCAACAAATCAATGATGATGGGCATGGGATAAACCTTGACCTCAGCAGGGTTATGTTTCTGGAACTTGGTATAGTAAAGTTGGGTGGGTTTTGCCGCACAGGTACTGATGCCTCCAGGTAATGGAAAGGACAATGATGTGAATCCAAGCAAGGAAATATTTCCTGCTACTGGTGCAGTTGACAGGCAATTGTTTTGTGCTGTCATTGTGGAACTTGTAATTCCACTGCAACAGAAACAAAATATGTCCATCTGCATTCAGTTTCCCCTCACATTCCTCCACCAGCTTCATATCTTAAGGAAACAATAGAATTGGACCAGCCATGGCTTTAAAGCCTCCAGAGCCCCAATAAATATCAATTTTCAAGGTGAGTGAGGGATGTTTCCTGTGGGCTGCATAGACCTGTCTCGCTGACAACTTTTCCCATATACGTGAAGTAAATCAAACAGGGCCAATAATATGCCAGGCAGCAAGTCAGACACAGATAAACATCCAGGACCTGATTTTGATACCACTGTGCCAGCTGGAAGCTGGAATTGTATGAATAATGTCAGAGGCACTCCCTCTGATTCACAGTAATTGAGAAAAATGAAGAGGGGATTCTGGGTTCCTACCAGAAGCCACACAGAATTAATAAAAGTTAGAAAATATAAATATTTCAGACAGGGGATGAGGCTTGCATTGTAAATAGATGTTCAAATATAACTTCAATACACAATGACAACAATTTTTTTTTTAAAAAAAAAGATCTGTTCTTTCCCTGAGAATAAGGATAATAGAAAAAATTTGCTCATGATGAGAAGTGACATAAAACCAAGAGAATCAATTCAAATGTAAAGGTATAATTTATCAATTATACCTTAATCAATTAAAATGTAAAGGATAAAAATCTTGTTCATTTTTCCATTTACTTGAGTATGCTACTATGCAAGGAGCTTCCTGCTGTCTCAAAAGATGACTTGTGCCCCAAATTCTTATTTTGAAACAGAAAGGCGCACAGGAAAGCCTAAGGGGGAATCAAGAGGAATTTAGGCTGGTGTTTGGGATGAACAACAGCAAAAGCCAACAAACCAGAAGCACAGGACCCAAATTCCCAATTTCATTAATCAATTTGTACCAGGAACTTTGCACACCACCAGCATCTGCCAATGACACCATCAGGCTGAGCATCTCCTGCCAGCTGGTCCAGTTACCTTGACAGCTTGATTACTGCCTTCATTGTCATTTTTTAAATAAAAGTGCAAATTCTACCCAGCACAAGGAATTAACTGAATGTTTGCTTCTTGACCAAAAGGGCTTGAGCATGACAATGAGAGGTTGCTTCATGCAGCTGCAGTGTTTGGGGCAAGACATATGGTCTCTTTGTTCCAAACAAATACAAACCTCCAAATTAGCTGTATATAGAATATGTAAATCAAGCTCCCCTTTCCTCCTTCCCTAAACTGCTTAGTAAGAAAACAGCTTGGAAGAGACAAAACCCAAGGGACAGGGATGTCCCAGGCCAGAGTTTTTTGCTCTCCACATCTGGGCTTGAGGAATGCAGGGAAATGCTCGCCTTCACCTCCCTCAGCCACAGCTATTAGGACCTGAGGTTTCTTTTGCTATTTCTTCATGGCAGTTTGTTGGGTTTGTGTTTTGTTTAAGAATGTGTGGCAGAGCCTGAGACATTGCTGAGGGTACTTTCACCTGCTCAGAAATTTCATCAGTCTTTGCCACTCCAGCTGCCCTTGACTGAGTATACTGCCAGAAAACTGCTTTTCTCCTGAGATTTTTCACTCTTTCCTTGACTCTTTTTATACAAAGAGTGAAAATCTGGTCAATTTAAACCTATTAAAAATAGCATTACAAACTATACCCTTTTTCCCCATGGCAAGAAAACTTACCTGTGCTTACTGAAGAGACTACAAACAGAAAAAACCCCAAACTTCCAGAGAGATACTTGGAGGTAGGTAGAGCCATTCTTCAGGATTTTCAATACTCTGTATGGGTAGCTGTGAAAAAAGAATATCAAGAAAATGTCACTTTTTTTTTTTTCTTTTCTCAGCTCATTCACTGCACAAAAAAAAAAAAAAAAAGAATAAAAAAAAAAAAGTGAGAGGTTAAATCCAGCTTTATGCCAGACCACATCCACTTCTGTTCAGCTCGATGGCTGAAAACAACTTTACACCGATTCAGGACCAGCCTGAACAGAGCAAGGAGCCATGGGCAGCTCCTCACCCTTTGTTTGGTTTAGGATAAACCCACTCGGGAATCCAAATAGACACTCAGAAATCAGCCACCAGCTGTAACCAAAAACGCCTTAGGAATGTGGCATAAACACATCCAGTGTCAGGACTCTCCAGGGCTGCATACCCACATGTGCTCGAAAGTAATGAAACACAACAGAGAAGGCGTTTGCAGAGTGACAGATTTCCACGGAGTTACCTTTCAGTGGCACCTCTCTCCCCCCAAAATACCCACACATTTTTAGCAGTGGTGTTTTGTGTAACCCCCAGATAAACCATACTCACACTTCCAACCTGAAGCATGCAGTTTCTTAGATTTCAGATCTAAGAAAATATTGTCTGTTTAGTGTGCCAGCTCAGAATTTTCTTGCAAAACCAAAAGCTGCTTTTGAAACCAGTCTACCTAATGTTGTTTTTGTTTCTTCCGTAGCCAATCCCCAGCAAAAAACAAACAAGCAGTGTCATGAAAGTCAAAGTTAGAATTAATGTGATTCTCTCTGGTCTCCAGTGATTGATTCTGCAGCTCTGCCCCAGGCTCATGACAATTTATTGACATGTGTATTCACAGGGAGGCAAGGACACCCACTTCTGTATTCATAAGGCACCATTTAAAATTCACATGTAGTCCTTGGAGTCTTTAGGTTTTATCATATAAGCCAGTGTCTGGGGAATACCAAAGACATTTATTTGTAGCTGTCATGTCACATCCCACCGATGAAACTGGATAAATGTATGCCTCATATGGTTTAGTTCAACACAAAAAAACCCAAAACCCACTGAAAAACAATTCTGGGGTACCCCAATTTCTTTAGGACAACCACAAATGTTATTTTTCATGTCACTTGTTAAACAACAACAAAAACAACAACAAAAACAACAACAAAAACACAAGAAAAGGAATGGAAGAAACCAGGATTTATTCAGGAGAAAATTTTGTAGTGTGTATGTAAAACACATCTGTACTGTTCATAAAGGTGCTACAGCTCAAAGTACCATGATAGGTTCAAAACACATGATTGCAGTAAAAATAGCACTCGGACCAGATTTTACGGGAAATATTTTGCCAGGGAAATGTTTGTTTGCTTTGGTATAGTGTATTTGACAGCCCTGAGCTCTGGAAACAGCATAGACTCAGGGCTTGGTGGAGTCTATCAGGTGCTGAAATGCTGTTACAGAGCAGTGGAAGAGAGGAATGCACTTAGCAATGCTATAACTTTGAATGATATACATTATCAGAGAGCAGCGCTGTCGCCATGGAATTTGTGCCAGAACCAGGCTGCACGTGTCTGACATTTTAACAGCATTAACCATCAACTTTGGATAAGCCAGAGCTCTTTCAAAGAAACATTATTAGAGGTACACCCAAAGTACAGCAGTCACCATTAAAATGCCAGGATTTATTAGTGATTATTACACAGCCTGATCTGCAGAGCCAGTCATTAGGCTGTGCTGTAACGATCCAGGAAGAACTAAACAAGAGGTAATACCACAGGATGGTCATTGCAGATAAACAGCATCGCTCACAGTGTGGACACCGCTGTGTGTTAGCGCTCCATAAAGCCAGATTCCATCCAGTGAGGTTTTGGTCATAAAATATACTCAGATGATAAAAGAGTTCACAGGAATAAAAAGAAGGGACTGTTTTTTTGACAGTGGCATGCATTTACTCTCCTATTGCTGTGTAGGTAGCAAAAAAATGTTTTTGTTCTGGCCCATTAAAAGCTCAAAGGAGCTTTTTTTGAAACCTTGCCTCTGACACAGACCTGTAGCAAACTGGTAGGAAACTACATCAAGACATTTCTCAGCCTTTGCTTTCTTTAGAGCCAGAAACAGCACAGTACTTACCATCAGTGCAAAACAGCTTCTGATTTTATATCCCCTGTTGTTCACCAGGGACTGCTTCCCTGATTGTATCCATCTTCATCAGCAGAGCTCAAAACAAGCAATCAGACACTGGGAAGACATATCATTTTCAGAGGCATCAGCTGCGTGCCAGGGCTCTGATGTTTTCACAGTGTCTGATCTGCCCCAGTCCAAGGAATATCCTGCTTATTTTGTGACTGAGGCAGGGTGTTTGATTCGCACCGAGCCCGAGTTCATTGCAGTGTTAGTATTAACTGGCACTTGGGTTGGAAAGGCTGGGAGCCAAGAGGGCCAAGAGGATCTGACTCCTCTGATTCAGCTCTGACTAACACCGGGCTGGAAAAATTCTGCTTAGAGGATAATCTCAGGAATTTTCCTTCTGAACCTCTCAATTCAGCATCTTTCCCAAATACTGGGTGCAAGCAGTGGCATGTTGGTTTGATTGTTCAGTATAAGAGGAGGAAGGTAGTGACTCTCCTGGTCCCTGTGGTGCTGCAGCAGGCTCAGGAGCAGTTATCTCCTGCCAGCAGCACTTCCCTGGCTCAGCACCGGGAGCCCAGGGATACAGCCACGCATCCTTGAACCGGCGCCACGCACTGACTCCAGCTCTGATGTAACCACCAGTGTCAACAAATCTCCCTGCAGACTCAGAGCACAAGGGCCATGCAAGTGCCTGCCTAAGCCTCACATCTCCAGCCTTTCTCAAATACCATCTGGGACTTCTCTCTTGGGTGAGAAAAGCTTTTATGTCTAGCCATTAAAAGCTGCCTGGCAATGGCAAGTGGGACTCATATCCTTGGATCTGGCAAGGCAGACTCTCTGAAATGATTCCCAGCTGCTGAACCTTTCCAAAAAAGTGAACAATAGCAGCAGACAATGCTAAAAGTAGATGCAGGAAGCCATTAGTCCTCAGCTGGCTGCTACTGCAGGTGTCAGCAGCGATGCCGTACTAGAAAGCACACTGCAGACAGGAATCCCTCTCCACTGCCCTTCCCACGGGTTTAACGCTGGAGGCAACACACTGAGGACAATTCTGAGAAAAAAATGGTGAAGAAATATTCTGAGGAAGCTAGATCCTCACAGGTATTGTGGTGGGATCACAAAGACACTGAATCTGAAGGGTCAGAGCGGAGCTTTCCAGGGAGGCACCACCAGTCATTCAGAGATACACACTGTGACTCTCCCCCTTGCACAGCTCTGGAGCACCTACCCAAACCTGGCAACAACATTTTTCAAAGTTACTCCCAGTACTGGGTGTTTAGAAGTGCATTTTAAGACTGGCTTGACACTCGTGTGAGGATGCACCTTCAGCATCTGCTGGAGACAGCTTCTCTCAGTACATCAAGCACGGCATAATGGGATCGTTCACAAACCATTAAAAATGAGGCAAGGACTGGAAAAGAGCAGCAGCTGCCTGATCTCTCCTAAAAAAGATGTCAAACAGGGCAGCAAACCATGTGGCTTCTGTTGCTGCTACTGCCCAGTGAAGGAGACCACCAACCTGCATGGGGGCAAAGTGAGGACCTGGCACCATCCCCAGAGAACAGGGAAAGCTCACAGGGAAAAGGAGCCCTTTAACCTGATGGGGAGTGAACTCTCAGCAGACACTGAGGTGCCCCGGGGGCCCCCTGTGCAAGGAAGATGTTCTCAGAGACCCTGAGGGTCTGCAGTGCACAGACCCTCCCACAGCCACCGCTGGTGCTGAGGGTGCAGCAGCTTCTGGTCTGAAGCCTTGCTGCATCTTTCCTCATGCATATGCAGGGAGGCCAACATCGATTTGGAAGCTGATCCTGAGAGAGGGAGGAGCTGTTTAATTAACGCCTCTGCTCCCTTCTTGCTGACACTGCATGGCAGCAGGTCCCCTCGCCCTGCTCATGGAATTTTGCATTTTAGCCCCAGCTGGGAAGATGGATTTGAGGTGTACTTTTGATTTTCTGACCTGAGAACATGCCAACCCTTGCTACAGTGACATACAGAGGGGATTTTCACACACCCAGCCACAGGCACAGCTAAAGCCTTCAGAAAATAAACACACGAATTTCTGGGGCTTGCTAATGGAAATGCTGTTCAGTCCCAGTGCATGGCAGCAGCATAGCTCCCTCTGCTCCACATCTTTTCCTTGTGCTTGCCACCCACACATCAGCTGCTCGTTTTTACTAGCAAGAGGAGGAGGATTAAACTCAGGAACAAACTTTAATTCTCAATGAATCAATACTGGAGTCAAAAGCAACATTCTTACTGTTTTCCCAGTGAGCCTTGGTTTCTTATAAATTTGCCTAATAACTTTCCCCACAAGAAGGTTCTGCTCACATATTCTGTATAAACATCACTGCAAATTCCTTGGTTCCTGATGTCCATAAAAATAGATTCTGAATGAGGAGCAGGAGTTAGAGGAAATTTTTACAATGAATAATTTTTTAAAAACTAAGGTGCTTGCTAATTTGTTGTAATATTGGCAAACTATTTTGAGACAGAAATAAAAGGGGGAAAATAGGGGTTTTAAAGCTATGCTTTTTTGAAGAATTTACTTTTTTTTTTTTTCAGAGGCTTACAGACTTTGAAGAGGAAAGGAAGCAATTTTTGGCTCTGTTTAAACAAAATCATTTGCAATTCCCATCACTCCACCCATCCAAGGCTGACTCCCAGTTTCACTTGCTTTCAAAGTGCTCAGCATTTCACTGAATTAAACCCTCCTCCAGCACATGAAGTTTTCAAAGCAGCAAAGGAGTGGGAAGCTGAGCCCCATTTGCTGAGGCTCAGGGTGCACTGACCCTGCCGTGCCCGCTGCCAGCCAAGCTCGTGCTTCCAGGGGATGCCAGAGCCATGGAGAAATGCTCTGGGGATGAGCAGAATGGCCACACACCCTGAATGCACCCTGGGGATGTGCTGGGCGTACCTGGATTAGTCCACGAGGACACGCACAGCCCCCGTGGGCTCCAGCACATGGATGGATATCCTCAGGAAATCCCAGGAGGAGCAGGGCAGCTTCCTCCAAACACAACACCCGTGCAGCACTTACCCCACAGCTTCATTCCCACGGGCTCCTGCTGTGTGCCAGGTCAGCAGCAGCCTTTGGAAACATCCCCTTGAACGTGTCCCAGCAGTCCCTGGAGGAACTGTACCCTCTGCAGAGCGTCCTGCTCAGAGGGCTCTTTTCCCTCCCAAGGTAAGGAAAGTGAGTGCTGTGGCTGAACAGGATCACAGCATCCTGAACCCTCTTCAAACTGCTGCTTTTAACTACCCGAATAACTGCATCAGGATGTAAATATTTTTCTTTTTGCTTTTGTGGTACTTCACTGTTTGCATCTGGCTCGCCACGACTCCACGCCTTCCTCTCCAGGACATTTGCCATTTGCTCTCCTTCAGGGAGGAGGAATAGAGATTTTTCAGAGGTTTAGGCACATTCCTCTTCTTCCTTCACCAGTCCTTCCTTTGCCAATTGTTTAGTCTCCGCCTCGGGTTAGAGCTCTGCAAATTTTTATTGGGATCCAGGGTCTGGACATGTCACAGATTATCAAATAAATCTCCAAGAAGCTAAAAGCTTGCTCTGTAAGTACTTGTTCCAGTGCTGGGTTTATGTCTATGAGCCAAAAACATCTTGCTTTTTCCCCCCGTACAGCATCAGAAATCATAACAGTTAATTATTAATAGGAGTTCCAAAGGACTTCAGGGATCTCCCTAGAGGGTCAGTTCCAGCTGCTCAGGCTATTGTACCATTCTCATCCCCATGATGTCCCATGCAGCATGATTTATCTTACCTTTACTGGGCAGCATCACTGCTTTCTTCAGACTTTCAGGCAAGCCAGGACCTCTTCCCCAGCCAGACACAACTCTCACTTCTCCCACCTGGTGTGGGGATGGAGCCAGGGTTTCCTTTTTTGCCTGTAAACCTTCTGGATGTCCTCTCACCCCCCTTGCAGGGACCAGGGGCAGAATGGGTGTGAGGGAGGCAAGTGCCCCATCCCAGGCACAGGTCAGCCAGAGCAACTCCCTCACCAGGGAGCAAAAGTCTGGCCAACAAAACAATAACCTTTCCTTGTAGCAACTTGTTTGGCCATTGCTGAGAATTCCAGAGAAACAAAAGGACATCAGTTACGCAACCTTCACCTACCTGTTTGAACAGCTCATGTTATTCAGTGACAGGGGTGGCATGAAATCGCCTGTCCCTTCACTGTTGTCACCAAGTAGCATCATGTTCAAACCCAAGTGACTCCTTCATCATTTCAGGGCCACTTTGTGCTTAGCTGCAGTCAGCGAGGCTATCAGTTTTTTCTCACTTTGCGTGTAAATCTCTATATTTGTGTTTACTTCAACAGCTGCAGCATAAACAGAAAGCAAAGAGAATTAACCACTAATACTGACAATATTTCAGTCCTCAATGGGAGCCAAAGGTCGACATGAGCATTGCCTGAAAGGAACACAAGACTTTACCCTAAGCAGCACATACTTTATCCTGGGTTTTATTCCTCTAGGTCCTTAATTAAGTGTTCACATCAGTTAGACAAACATCATTTGACTAGTCATTAGCTTCAGACAGAAACACATTTATAACTCATCCTTGTGCTCGGTTTGATTGGAAGACATTGTCATGAGATCACTGCACACTGACCAAGCAGAGGTTGCTGAGTTCACCTAAGATGCCACAGCAGATGGACACCTTTTTTAAAAAGCAGACATTAATGGGTAGAAGTAGGAATGAAGGGAGAATTCCCTCCCTTTGCATAAGTTCATGTTTCCCTGGAATTGCTAAATTTCCGCGCCAAATTTTATTTGTAGTCCCACAGTTACCACAGAGCAGCTCTTGCCTTTAAAACTTACCTTTTGACACCAGATCACAGATACGTTGAAACACTTCCCCTGGGGAAGGACAGCCCACAGACTGCTCCTGTTCTGCTCTGCAAGGCACTGGTGGAAAAATAAAGCTCTACCACAGAGGGTAAGGTGAGAATATATTTATTGGTTATACAATATACAAGTGAACACTCTCAGTTTGGTACAATCTAGCCAGAACAGCAGGTTTTGGTGGTGGTGGTGCTGGGCTCTGCCTGGCTGGTGCTCCCCAGCAGTGCCCCAGGGCACCCCAGCCTTTGCAGAGATGTGCTCCAAGCAGATATGAGAAAAAGCAAATTTTAGTGGCTCAACAGTATTGTCAGGACACTGATATTCTTGCAGTTTCAAGGGAACATAATGCTGAAGAGAAGCAGCTTTCTGATAACCAGCATGATTAAAGACTTTAATCCAGGATGGTTTGGCTTGTCCTTTATAGCCAAGCCTGGCAAAACCCCCTGAAAAACAGACACAAGGAGAGAAGTGACCCTCTGGGTGTGGCAGTGACCAGCAGTACAGCTTGGGCTCCCTCCACACATCATGGACATTTCTTAGCCCTTCTTTAATTTCTTGAATTAAAATTACAGAACATACAGGAGAGAGAAAGGGGAATGGAAGTGGGAATGAGCCTCACTGAAACTGTAAACTTGCTGCCTCATGGATCTGCTGGTATTTCAACAATCTAAGCCAGGTACCCAGATGTCAGTTAGCAGGAATATTGTTTTACTCTTTATTTTTAAATAAAACTGGTACTTCTACTTATTTAACTACCTGAAAATGGTTAGACACTTTGAATCCTTCTTTTATTAGTTTACATCTGTTTCATCCTGTTATGCCTTAACTATGCCTCATGTCAACTCTGCTCTGGTCCTCTGCTGTCCCAAAGTACAAAGGCATTATGTATTCTTCCATTTTAATAATAATGTCTTGTGTTTATATTATGCTTTTCATTGCAAAGACTCCCAAGGCTATTTGCAGCTGGCTGGGTCGAGACTATTCCTGTAAACACTTCTAATTTAAATAAGGTTTTGAAAAACCAGGAAACAAGACCCTAAATCCTGATCCCACTGGGGTCAAGAGAATTGTGGGTGTTTTTTTGCATTATTCCTGGCAGAAGCAATGTGTGCTTAGGAGAAATGCTCCAGCCTGCCCTGAAATGCAGCCCTCCCAGCACAGAGCAGTCCTGGAGCTGTGAAGTCAAATAGTCCAAATACCTGAACCAGCAGGAGGAGGCTCATGGAGCAGAACATGATTACCCAGACTGGAAATCAGGGCAGGCACATGGGTGAACACCCTTGCCCTTAGGAAAGGCAAAACAGGGGCAGCTTGTGATCAGCCAGCAGCAGCTCAGTCCCCCTGCCAGCCACCAGCATCCCACCAGCGTGGCAGGGCCAGGACAAGCCCCCAGCCAGAGCCTCCAGGATGGAGCTGACCCTGCCTGCTGCTTTTTGTGCCCCTGGAGCAGTCAGGGCAGGAGGCTGAAACAAGCTCCCAAAACAGCCAAGAGGGTGGCACAGGTGGTTCAGGGAACAAATTTTGGCAAAACAAACAAGCAAACAGAAAAAGATTCCTTTTTAATAAAAAAATTCCTTTCAAAAGTATTCAGGGCTTTGATGAAAGACTGAAACAATAAAGTTTCAGGACAAAAACAGAAAAGAAAACCTCAAACTTTTGCTTTTCAAAGGATGAAAGAAGAGGCAGCTTCTCAGGAATCAAACATGCACTGAAATGAAATCACTGCCTGTGCTGCAAAGACCCTTTTGTCCTCCTCTGGAATGGTCATAGCAACGAACTTTGAAATTCCAACCAGAAATTGATATGAATTTCAGTAAAGCAGTGGGGAAAAGGTCCCCAGCCTCTTGCAACCCACTCTCCTCCTCCATACCAAAAAATAAGAAGCTGGAAATACAGTCAATTTTCCATCTGATCTTTCCATGAGGACCTGAAATCTGCAAAAAGCTAGGTGGCTGTTTTCTTGATTTCCCTATCACTGACTCACATTATTCATCCAAGCCTGTACTCAATAGCCTCTAGTTTTCCAGTAGGAAACCCAGTATGGATTTTCTGGACCAATTATACCAATGGATTTCCTGCAGCAATACAAGGTAAAATTATAATAAGAACTCTCCCAAACTGTTGATTTCACCATCCTTCTATCCAAAACAATAAATAGCTTTTATTTCACTGCAGACTGTTTTCTTTTTCATCAACTTATCAGGTTATGATTGTTTGATTCTTGATTGCTTTTCCTCTCAAAGCAGTGGAACTTTGGAGATGGAACCTTTTTTTTTTTTTTTTTTTTTTTTTTTTTTTTTTTTAAGAAAACCAAGCTCCTTTTAGGATGGAAAATTTGCAGCAACTTCTCACCATCCCTAAGCCAAGATGTTTTCACTGGATTACACTGGCATGTTGTGGTGGGACATATATTGATAAGCACTGTATAACTGCATATACATTAAATACTTTTACCTCCCTTGTGGAAGATAATAAGCTTTGCTGAACCTAACCTGACAAAAACTGACATTTCAGACATGCCCAGCATGTCTGTGATATTTCTAGAGCACACAAGGACAAGTGATCTGAAAAAAAGAACAGTAATTACTGCATGATTGCAAAATATTTCTTCAGTAAGGATCTTCAAGATCTTTAAGCTCCAATACAGAAAAGTATGTAGGAGAATGCTTGACTTTAAGAACACCTAAATCCCCTTAATTTCAATCCCATGTAAGCTCTCCCAAGTTTAAACTTCCATTTAAATTAAGATTAAACCTGTGCTTCACATGGAATCAAAACAAGCTCAAATGACTGTGAGTGCATCCGTCCCTTGTGGGAGTGCTGAGACTCTGAAACCATCTACATCCTGGCTCTGATTCTCAGTCAATCTTCAATCTGCCTTTGGTCCCCACAGATCTCCTTTCAGCCCCCACTGAGTTGTACCTGTAGTGAATTGCAGGCACAAGGGGTCACATTTAGCTGAATGCCTCACTGCAAAATCTTACCAGGAAAACAATCTGAATGTACAGACATTGCATGGATATGTGTCCCTTCATGCACATCTGTACATGCTCATGTGCAGAAATGCAGATGTAATAACTTAGGAGCGTTCAAATCTTTGGCCATGAACTGCTCAGAAATGCCTTGGACTGAAAGTCTGTTTTCTGGTTACTTGGCCTGCTTCTACCAGCAGCCAAGAATATATCTATCCATCTGTTGTTCCATGTTTATGTGGCAGCACATGAAACCACAAGGAATGTGGGACAGACACAAACAGAGATGGTCCAGACCATTGCCAGGGCCCACACAAGGTAGGAGAGCCAGCAGGCAGGCAGGACTAGTCATTGGCTCACCCAAGAAAAGTCCCACTGGAAAATCTGGCACACCTATGGTTTTCATCTGTCACAAGAGGCAAAAACAATCAGTAAGAATAAACAGAAATGGACTTGTTTCCAAAATGGAAAACTGAATCACTGGCTACCAGGACGTGGCTGGGCACAGGGATGGGTGCATAAGATTGCAAGTGTCATTGCAAGGACCTTATCTCCTCCACGCTGGAAAATGACTGGCTTATTTAGAAGAAATTGCCAGTATCCTAGAAAACCTGTTTCTGTCTGCTCTAATCTGTACAATCCTGGGAGAGAAATTCTGCCCCTCTAATCTGGCTGATGCTTGGAATTTGTACATTTTAATTTGTGTCAGATTTCTTCAGAGCCCAGGTTTGGTTATGAAATTACATAATTTTCCTTTCTTTGTCTATCAGCCACAGGTTGCTACACGAAGTGGAATCTCAGCAGTTTTCTTACCTCTCTTTTATGGATGTTTGAACATAATCAGTGACTGCACAGGCAGGGTTTTCACTGGTAACTGTGTCAAAGTGCTGCCTACCCATGACTGCTCCTGAACATGCATCCAGCACCACGAAGAAAATCCCAGTGCTGGTGAACAGGAGCACTGTGCCATTTACCTGCAATGAAAAAAGCAGAGGTAGGCTAATGGAGGCAGGCTGAGGAGCCTTAGACTATGATCCTGCTCCTCCATAAGGAAGTTACAAGCAAGGAAAATATCTACATTTTAAAAATACCTATAATTTTAAATGTATCATGGGTACAGATGAAGTGACATCATTGATTGTTGGTCAGTGAAAGAAGGAAGCAAAACCCCTTCTCAAAGGGGTACAAAACCATGAGCAATGAGGCCATCAGCATCTTCTGTGGATTAGTAAGACACATATAGGAAGCCAAGAATCCTGAGAGTAAAATGCTTAGTTCAGCCTTAATACAGTTTCCTTTCATGTGGGGAAAATTACTGTCACTGGGCAAAGCAGATTTACCCATGGAGCAAGGGAGAGGTGCTGAGACAGCAGACAGGGGAATAGAAATTGCATGTGCTTTTTTTTCTTGTTGTTTTTCCCTGAAAATGTAAATATCCAAACCAAACTATTCCTTCTTGGAAGGCCTGTCCCAGTGCCTCAAAGAAGTTGTAAGAGAAGTAGCTCTTGCTCTTCTCCTTTCCTACAGCAAGAACTCTTTCCCCAGGTTACACCTCTCAAGGTGGGCCATGGTATTTACTTTCAGAAAGCCAAAAGCTCTCTGAGCAGCCTGGCACTGGTGTGTCCTCCCAACATCTTGAGGACAGCCCATGCTGAGAGAACAGAACCTCCACCAAGGAGAGCAACAGCATAGCAAGGTCAGGCTGTCAGAACACTGAACCCAGGATCCACAATTCTGCAATGTACACAGTTTTCCAAAGCCTGCAGGCAGCAGGAACCTCACATCCCATCAATCTGAAACATGTATGTCTCCAGGGAATATAAAGCTGGACTAAATGTGGGAGCCAAGTGTTAAAAAGTGACTTCTGCAAGATGTCAGAGGATGCTGAACGCAATATGGGGTCAAGGGTAAGGGAAACAGGAATGTCCAGGCCATGGGTGGGCAAAGGGGAGTGAGAAAGAGCAAACACAGACAGAGTCTTGTCTGTCCCGGCTGTCTGACCATCCTAAGTGTGGGAAGTGTGTGAAAGTCTGGATGCAAGCACAGCAGAGAGCAACCACCCCAGCAAACAGACCTACATGTGAGGCACTGCAAGGGGCAGCTGTGATGTGTGTCCTGTCCTGTCCCATCTGCACACTGCAGATCCCTGGAGGAGACAGCTCACTCAGCCTTTGGGAAAGCTTGGATCAGAAATTTAAAACATCTCCAACTCGTGCATTTCATTCAGCAAAACAAGAACAAAACATGTCCTTCATTTTCCCAATTACTGTGCCTTTCAAGATTTAGGGTAAGAATCCCCCTTTAGGCACTAACCTTTACCATTTGTCTATACCAGCCTTTACCTCAGCTACATTTGTTGAAATTAAAACTTCCTTAGAAAAACAACACTTTGCATTAAAGCCTTAGAAAAGACAAAGAAGCTTTGAGGATTCCACACCTGTCCCACGAGTGCTGCACACACAGGTGTCTGTGCTTCACCATAACACCTGCTTGCTAATGGCTTTGAATGAATTTTTGACTAGCAAGAAATCTTGGCTGCTCATATTCCTTAAGGATGCTGTACCAGCTTTGCTTGGCATTTGTTAGCATTAATTATAATTCAGTAGCATGCAGGCATGTAAGCCTTGGCAGTGTCCTTGCAAGAATTATTTCAGTCACCCTTCTCTGTCTAGACAGATATATAAGGCATGTGCAGGGGCAATCTGACAGTTCCAAACCTCTTTAGTAGTGAAATATATTTATTTTTATCTTTTAGTGCAATGCCAGCAGAGAAAATCAGAAAAACAAACTTGTTTTTTCCCCTCCATCCTTTGTAAACAATGGCTTGTAGTTTGCTCTTTCCTCCCCTTCCTCTACATTAGAGCAGTGGTGTTAATTCTTCTTCTGAGGTGCTAAAAGACCTTTTCTTTTTTTTTCCCCTAAGAGCTCAAATCCTCATCTGAATAGAATACGAACTCCCAGTGACTTTAATTGAGTTAATTGTAAGGGAGAACAATGTACTTGCCCCTTCCAAGGAAACTTCCCATTTCCTTCTGCCAAGGCTCAGCAAGATTTTGCAGTAACTTTCCTTGGAGATAAAGTTTTCCCTATCTAACCACTACTTCAAATACAGTAAGACACAAAATACCTTAATGAATGCAGATGTAAAGTGGTTTTGTATGTCTGCCCTGCCAAGAGACTGGATCTGGATCCTTATGTACTCAGCTGAGGGTGTGCTGATGATAGAAACCTGCAATTACACCAGAGACAGCCTTAAAAATTGGCTTGCTAAGTGGTTTTCATCAGCAAGATGACACTGGGTATCAATGCCCAGATATACATGATCCCAAAAGTAAGAATCCTTTGCTCAAATTGTGATCCTGATTCACATTTAAGTGTTCATTATCAGTATTTATAAAAGGATTGTTGCAATGCAGTTTGAGGAATCCTCTGACAAACACTCTGGCTTGTATAAGTTGAGCATGGATTTTACATATTTTGCCTGGCTGTAAAATCAAGTGCAGATCTGTATGAGCCTGAGACAGTTCTGCAGGATTTAGAGTGGGGTGAATTTACAGAAAACGAGCAGAAAAGCTGGCTCTAGGTTTCCAGTTATTCCTGTTAACCAGAATTACTTCCTGGTTTGAAACCCAGCAGCAATTCTTTGGAATTCAAACTCATCTAAAATAAGCTCTCCCAATAGTCCTTTTGTTCTGGCTTAAAAGAAAGAAATGAGGGGGAGAGGTGCCATGTATGTGCACCCACATGCTTCTAACTGAGCATTATCTTTTAGGAAATATTTGAAGCACAGCACAAAAGGCTGCAGAAAATCAGAGCAAAACCCTTCTCTCTACACAGTTACGTGATTCTGGGCAGATCCACGTGTGGGAGCCCCCTACAGCTCCTCCTTACATGACTGCATGGACACTGTGTGACATAAGAGGCTGTTTCACCCATCAGGGTCAGTCCTGCAGAGCCCCACATGCCCAGCAGTGGGACACAGGGTGCTGGGACATGAACATGGGTGCTGGGACATGGACACAGGGTGCTGGGACATGGACATGGGTTCTGGGACATGGGTGCTGGGACATGGACATGGGTGCTGGGACATGGACACAGGGTGCTGGGACATGGGCACAAGATCCTGGGACATGGACATGGGTGCTGGGACATGGACATGGGTGCTGGGCAGCTGCTGGCCTCTCTGGGAAGGGGTTGGGGCCACAGCTCCAGGGGTGTGCCATGATTAAATCCATCCACAGCCTTGCTGGAGCAGTTGCTGTGTTCTCTCCAAGGTCCGCAGGCTCACAGGAGAACAAACAGGAGCAAGCAGAGGGATCAGTGCCTCGTGTGCTTAGAGGATAAACTGGGCACAGGCTGGAGCTGCCCTCAGTAAATTGCATTACCCCTCGCATTTCCCAGCATCACAAACCAGCTCTGACAGTTCCACGTGGCACACCCATTGCCAAATCCTGCCAGATTTCAGGTGCAGCTCCTCTCTCCCCCATGTGGGGACAAGCAGCATGTGGGGCACACCCCACTCTGGCCCCAGCAGCCCTGCTGCCCCCAGGCATGGTGACATCCCACAGAGAAGGAGCAGCAGCTGTGCTGAGGCTGTTGTGCAGAGGGACACAGGTTTGCCTGGAGTTACCAGCACCAGCTCACTTCTCTGCAGAGCTCAGCCCAAAGCATGCATGACAGAAGCTCCAAAGCAGCCAGGGCTCCTGGCCTTTGGAGTTCACTTTTATTTCTTGCTGTTCCAAGTATGTGTTCAATCCTGCCCATTCTGCAATTCAGGCTGAGGAAATTATATAAACAGCTCAGTTCAGCTCCAGGATCAAAAAGATACATGAGCTTTACATGGATTCTTCCTTCTATCTCTTTTAAAACTAAATAATTCTTTCTATTTGTCTGTAAGGGAGAATGAGTAAGCTTGGTTTCTTTCCAAGGTTTCAGCATGTGGGGTTAAAAAAAGAAGGGGAAACATCCCACTCATTATGAAATAGTCTAAAAAACAACAACAGGAAAAGAAAAAAGCCAATCCCATAACTTCTGGACTCTGAAAGGCTAAAAAAAAGCCCTGCTGAACTAAAGAGAAAACCAAAATGCTGATACTGCCAGAATTCAGTCAGGTTAGACCCATCAGTCTGCATGTGCCAGGTCCAGATGGCTGCTGGCAGCTCATGGCTCTTCCCCCACAGACCCACACGTGTGACCATTTTTCTTGCTATTTAGTAGTAAACAACATGTTTACAGAATTTGGGCAACCTTTTTTTTTTTTTTTTTAAAAAAAAAAGGAGGATTAATTACCAATTTGGTGTTTCACAATTCCTGTGATGAGAGAGACCTGGCCATCATCAAGGAGCCTGGTGAGCAGGGAAGGCATTCCCAGATTTGATTGCTCATGTGTTATGGTTGAATGAATAAATATATCCCATCTTATTTTCAAATCTGCCATTTGTGGATTGATTCCTGAAGCAGTTACTTAGTCAGGTGAAACATCATGGGACTCATGGTTAAACCACAAAACACTTTTTTCCTGCCTATTTTAGCTGACAGAGAAACAGTTTCGTAATCTGTTTTTTTAACCAAAGGTGTCCTCAAGTCTCACAAAGACAGTGCAAGAGTTTCAGGAGTCTTCATGCCTCCAAAATAAGAGATGTGTTTCGGTGCTCACCTTTTTTCACAAAATCTGATTTTTAGAATGGGAATATTTTAGAAATCTCTTTTTGTGGGCATATGAAGAAGTTGAAGCTTCACAAACTGTCTCAATGTCAGTCATGAGAGGGGTTTTTCTCATGGCCCTTTGGGGTACAATGGGTTTAAACAAATATTTACACCCTGCCCACACCTGCAGCAATCTAAGCAGCAGGGCTGCACAAGGAGCCCAGTCCAGCCTAGAAGTCAGCCCTTTTCTGAGCAGCACTGCAAATCTCAGACCTGCCCCGGGTACTCCAGCCCGGAAAACCTTTTTGGCCTGAAATCAGGAAGGAGAGCACGCAAGGCAGACAGACCTGAATTTTAACTCTGAGAAAGAGAAAGGAGGTGCTGGGGTAAGAAAAAAACCCAAGGACTTGCTGCCCACCTAGGGCACAGCAGGGCTCACACCAGGGCTCTGTTGGGTGGAAGATCCAAGAAATCCAAGAAATCCAACAGATCCAACAGAACCAACAGATCCAACAGAACCAACAGATCCAACAGATCCAACAGAACCAATAGATCCAACAGCTCGCCAGTTCCATGTGCTGGACGCTGGGCACTGTCCCTGTCCCTCACTGGGACACATGCCACCACCTGGAAAACAACTTCCCTGGGATAGCAGAGGGTGACACGCAGCCAGTCTCCTCTGTTGGCAAAAAGGGCAGGCAGGGGCAAAGGGAAAAAATGCGCTTAAGGGCTTGAGTACAAGAGAGATGGTCTGAAGCCAAGAGTACAGACTTCAGGGGAAAACAAAGAAATGTCCTTTGAGGTTCTCTTTCTGCTCTAAAAAAACACAACAAATCCTCAAAGCCAAATAAAATCGGATTTTTTTTGCTTTGTCTGGAAACAACGGCTGCTTATTACAGAGGTCTGATCCAGGGACCCCGGCTGACCTCTGAGAACTTTGAGTCAGGTGCCAGGATGGCTTGAAACCAGGGATTTTCTCTTCCTTGCCCCGTAAGGCTGAGGTACAACCAGTCACATACCCACTTGTGTCTCCTGAGGCTGCTGCAGGAGAGGGAACCAGCACCCAGCAGACATTTCACCGGGGGCACAGATTCAGGAATTAGAAAGTAATCTCCAACTTGAACCACAGCCACAGTCTAAAGAGACCTGCTTCCTCCACTTTACAGCAAAGTTTATTATTATGGTTTCCATTTTCTCCCTGGCTGTTTCTTCAATGTCAGTTTAGAATAACTAAGGATAAAGTTAAATCATCTTTTAACTCCTGTTTCCCCAGATTTCGGCTTACACATTTACAAAATAATTGCCCCTATATCTTTCCTTCATCCTGTGGTTCCTATTGCCACCCTTTCAGAGAAAAAAAAAAAAAAAGGCTCCAACTAGAAACCTTTGGTACAAGACTCAGATCCAAAGCTGCAGATACAGTACAATTCTTATATTGATGGAAAGGATCTCCCACAAACGACCCCAGCACCCATTCCTGTCTGTGAGAGGCACTTGGCCTGTACAATGCAGAGAGCCACATGAAGTTTGCACTTGGAAAGAAAAACTAAACTAAACAGATAATTAGCTTTTTGGGGTTTTTTTCTCCATTCTCCCCTCTTAAGTGGCCCAGCATGCAACAGCAAGATGCCTGAACCATGGTTTGCTTTCCTTGTGTCATCAAAACCTTCCAGGATTTAAATGTATTCTTTGAACTACCTGCATTCCTGGTAAAAATGGAAAATATAAATTTGGCTTAGAGAAAGGAAGCACCACCTTCATCATCTGCCTCTCTGCATTCTACAAAGCTCAACAAGTCAAATTTTTTCCAAAGAATTCCCTGAAGTGACCCACCACCCATCCCTGCCTGCAGAGTGATAAATGAGGGGAAACCAGTTCATTGTGGTGAAATCAGAGGGTCTGCATGCCTGGACCTTTACTTTGCTTTACACATGGACAGCAATAAAGAAAAGCTATTTCAGCCTTTTTCTGTTTTTTTCATCAAAACAAAACAAAGCTATCTACAGGATGGAAGAGGGGACAGGCTGTTCTAAAATAATAAATCAAAGCCACACAAAGACGCATCAGCTTAAGCCAGATACTGCCCTCTAGATTTTAACCAGCTCCAGCTGTGTCATAACACTGCACAGCTCAAAAACGGATATATTTTCAGATGATCTGGCCTCTGACTAGAGGAAATGAAAGAAATGCACCAGAGCCATATTAGTGGAATATTTTTAGGATGGAGTCCCAAGACATTTGGCTGTTTCATAAGGGCAATTTGCATTGCGTTAGCACATTTCATCCCCTGAAGTCACCATCACAAAAAGATCTTGTCACTCCCCCCGATGCTGGGAACCAGCTTTGGTGCTGTACTACACTGACTGCCACCTCCCTGAGGAATGAGAAAGGCTTTAGAAAAGGAAACTAGAGGGTGAAAAAATTAAAAAAAAAAAAAACCCCACAGCTGTGACCATCTTGAGTTGCCAGGTCATTTGGGAATAGGAGTGCTACAGTCTAGGGTGCATGTGAGCAGGCTGAATGAAGCAATGAAATCAATTACACCAGGACTGAAAAGATCAAATGAAAAGCACCTACTTTGGAGTTTGTGGAGGAAGAGATGGAAATAATTACCTTCCCACAACAAAGGCCTTGGGAAGAGTTGCGAGAAGCAAAGGTATTAGAACTTATCCTCTATGTAAATATTGGAAAGATTAAGGGGGTTATTTTCTCTTTAAATTAGTGGTATTTAACAGTTTCCTATTTAGTTCTGCACTTCTGTTTCTTCAGCTTGTTCAAAACCCACTGTAAACCCTGCAAAATCCCTGTGTGTGTGGCTGAGCTGGGCTGCAGCACCAGCAGCAGAAGCAAAGGCAGAGATGTCAGCATGGCTGTGGGAGGGTTCCTGGGGCTCTGCCCTGCAGCTGGGGGAGATCCCTGTGCTCCAGCCACTGCCAAAGCTGAGGGACAGATGCAGCCTCAGGAGAGGAGCTGCAATCAGGCATGGGTTGTCTGGGGCATGGAGTTCAAAAGAAAACGTATGTGTGTGTGTCTTCCTCAGCCCTAGCAAGTAATGAAAACACTGAATTAATGGGAGAACCCAAAATATAAATTCAAAGTGATTTTAGAGCCCTACTTGAAGGCTGGGGGAACATATGTAGCTTTAGATGCTTTTGTGCTTAAAAACCAACACAAAGAAAGGAGGCAAACACACTTAAAACACAAGGGATAGAAGTCAGACTTGATAAATAAAATGCCAGCAATACACAAGACCGCTTTTGTGTCTTCTGCTTTCATTCTTAGGAGTTTCTTCCAAGAAAAACAAATGAAAATATTTTTAGGTAGAAAGTCTAACTTTCCAGCTTAAATAAAAATCATACTAATATGTGTAGAAAACTAACTTAAGCTATTTAAGGTATTTGCACCCCAAAACTAAGTAATTGTGTTCACAACCTTTTCTAGTGTAAAAGGTCACTTCATTTTATAGATAAGGAACATTCTTCTTTCTTTTTCACATTTGTGTTCCTAATCAGGCAAACATTCTTTTATGCTTTTACCAAAATCTTGGTCTTTGAAGGAGGAAAGCTTAATATACACTCACAAAAAGTCACTGTTAAGTGGGTCCCAGCTGTTTCAAACATTACTTTGAAAATTTTTGAGATCTGCTGACACCAGACTGTATAAAACCTAACATTCTGCTCCTCTGTTACTGTCATTCAACAATCCCCACAGGGCACTTCATGCATTTTTACCATTGTGTTTATCCTGCTTGTTTTCTTTTGGAAATGGCTGGACAAAACAAACCCAAGAAGTCTTTGGGGTTTTTCACCAAGATATTGGCATTTGCAGTTCTGGCTCTTTCAGGTAAAGCAAAAACATCAGACAAAGTGTTAAAAAAGTGTTCTGTTTTGGCAATGAGCAGGGATAAGCAAAAGCATAAAAAGGACAAGCGAAAGTCAAAAAAGCAGGCAAGAGGTTTCCTGTTCTTGAACATGTGGGAGATAGAGATCTGCACGTACACACATCCATACCTCATTTACAAGCCTCAGAACACTCCTCCAGTTCAACCCTGAACTCTCAGAAGCAAAGACACTGAGAGGAATGTGATCAAGCGGGCAAAGGAGGGGAGATTTCCCTGAGTGGTGGGATGGAAAGCGAGTCATGTAACTTGGAGATGAGATTTGGCTGGAATAAAGACACAAAAAGTGCATGTCTGGGGCTCTGACTGCCTGGGAGAGGATGAATAACACTTGTTCAATATTGTGAGCAACACACAGTATTGGCTATGTCAGGTGCAGTATGAGTCCTGGGCAAATGGGTATCATCTAGTGCTGGGGTTTCTGGTTATCCTGGATGTCAGTCCTGGCTGGATTTTAGTAAAGGGAACCTCTAAGCTGAAGAATGTTTTTCTAGAAAACAGCCCTACCATGTTTATTGACATGGTGTGTCACATAGCTGATGAACATGGAAGGGCACAGTCCAAATCCTGACCTCACTGATGAAAATCTGGGGTAAACTAACGAGGGAATGCCATAGAGTACAACTGAAAATTACATATTTTTTTCCTTGTGCTTGAAAAAACAAGAGAGTTCCATCCAGTGAGTCAGTCTCCCCCAACTGTCATTACTCCTATTTAAAAACAACCCCTCTGACATTTTGGTCAACAATCTACGTGAGCTGAACTTTCAAAGGGAGTGAGAGAACTGGGAATTTAAAACTTTCCTGTTCATAATATGGGAACCAAGCAGAAATCCCCACATGCTGCTTTGGTAAGTTTGTCTCTTACAGACTGAAGGTGAAACTTTAAAGGACCATAAAAAACGCACAGCCCCTGTTTAGCCTCCAACCCATCCCAAGAGTAAATCACAGGAGGTCAGTGCTTCTTGCTCTCAGTCAGGATACAGCTGGTTTTTCTCCCAAAAAATTTCTCCCAATCTCCCAACAACTTGCCCAGCACTTGGCTGCATCTCCTCTGGCACAAAACCTGCTTTCAGGACAGGTCACCCCATCTTCAGTCAGCAGCACTGGTGAGGAAAGAGGAGTGAAAAATGCCCACACATTTCCCTGGTGCTGAGAGGAGCAGAGGAAGGGCTGCGAGGGATCTGGCCACGTCTCTGCCCCTTTCTCCCAGCTCAAGCTGTTTTCCTTGAACCCCCATTGCCCACCAGCTCCCTGCAGCTGTCACTCACTCCTCTTTTCTTAGACTTTGTCTTTTTTTTTTTTTTTTTTTAAGTTTTCTGCTTTCAGCTCAAGCCCAGTAAACACACCCAAACCCCCACAATGACAAACATGGCTATTGGGTGAACACCCAGCCAATGTTCTCAGGGCCTTGTTAGTGAGGATAGCCTCTTCTGGAGAACTGCTTTTTGCAGGGGTTGTAACACACAGGTGTGTGTTTAGCTAGCTAGAGTGCTGGGATTTAAATGCCTTTCCTAAATACTGCTATTTAGGAAATGTCATTAAAAATTCAAAAGCATAGACCATATTTTAATATAAATTTTTTTTTTATCCACATCTCCTTAGGCAAAAAGAATTATTTTTGGTTTTGTGAAGCTCAACAAATTACAGGAGGGATCCTGCCCTGAGGTACAGATCTGCTGATCCTCATGAAACCAAGGTCTGACTCAGAGAGCATTTGGCTTGCAGACAAATGTATTCAAGCAAAAATAAGAACTTCCTGCATTTAAACACAGTACATCA